CCTGACTCGAAAATGCCGTTGGTGTCAAAAGATCTGGCTTGAATCAAAGGTTAGGTATGCCAAGTTCCAGCTTTCCATCGCCAGTGTGTTAGGAGCTATCGCGGAAAAAACCCTAGGGGGGGGGGGCGGCACCCGCCGTCCCCCCATCGGCCGGCGAGGGTTAATTGAGTACCTTATTGCTTCGTTTGTGTATGTGCATGTAGAACATTTACCTCTTGAATGATACACCATAAACTGCGTTTGAATTTCAGTTATTTTTGGGTAGGTATATAATTTATGCTAGCGGCTGCAAAACGCCAACAGTAGGTGCGATGAAAGAGACACCTCAGTGGACTCGCTTCACGAATAGGACCCCCCAATTCCCAGTGCTCTGGAGCCGCCCCTGGTAAAGTTATGAACTTGAAATTTTCAGGGAATGTGCCCAATTTAGTTTTAGGAAAAGTCAGAAAATTTCAGCATCGTAGCTTCAGCGGTTTCGGAGATATTTCCGGAAAACCTGAGGGGTGGATAAAAACAACCCCCCCTGCCACTAATAGGGTTAAGCGTTTGCAAGCAAGGTTGCCTAGCGCAATATATAGCTCCACTGCAAAAGGAATGTTTTAAACATTTTCCTCATCTATTTGCCCCAATTAGCAACAATGCATCGCAATATAGCCACTTCTGGATTGTAAAGCATTTTATAGCATGTAAAATGGTAGGTATATGGATGTCTTCGGAGCCAGGTATCAGTGCGTTTTGTGAATTCTACAGTGATTGTTTGTAGCGCGATATCTGATGTCGGTCATTTATCTATCAGTATGTCTGTCATTTAGCACTGCTTTAAGTGAATACTATTTACCTTTCTAATGACGGTCACGTTGTAAGAAAGCCCCTACTTGGTAAAAAAAAAAAAAAAAAATCCGAAGGCCATCAGTGCGAAGTTATCTTTTGCAGAGAAATGAAACTTGCAGGAAGAAGCATCTTCTCAACTTGCAGGTAGCTATATCTCGGATCGTAAGGGACACTGTCTCAGGCGACCTTATGACCAGCTCACTGAGGGGCGAAGATCACGATGCTGCACCAGTTTTACGAACAGTGAATGAAAGGTATCATGTGATAACATATACAAAGTTATTGTGCATCCTCTTTTGACACGTTTTTGCTATAATAGGCGGATCCAGGCGTCCAAAAGGGGGGGGGGTTATTTTTTACCTCCCAACATAGGTGCCCTGACACCGCCTTTGCATGACCAATACAATTTTAGTCGTTCTCTCATAAGAAAATTGTAACATAACAAGACCATTGCCACCCTTTTTAGAAACAGTACCAACAAAAACCTTATTTACTATACTTTTTGTGTACCCCCAATCTCAATGATCTGTATCCGCCTATGATTTTTGAAAATGCATATTTTTAGGATCCATGTGAATTCCTGGTTCATTCTCTATCGATCGGCAAAAGTTGCGTTAAGATTGGTTCAGAAACCTGGCCGTGATAAGCAGTCTAAAAGGTATCTGCAATTTGCCCGTTTTTACCCCCCTCTACCCGCCTATTGACATTTTTTTTATAGAAATGTAGATCTCGTCGAGCGAAATCGAATGCCGTTTGAATTTTGAAAATCGGCTCGTTAGATCTCGAGATATCAAGGGGGGTCGTAAACAGCCCCCCCCCCCTGCCACTAATAGGGGGTAGCCAGGAGCCTGCCACTAATAGGGTTAAGTATTGTTGGTTTTTGAAACGGTTCTTCGTCTAAACCTATTGTCCGAAGGCCACGTTACTGACACTCATACGAAAACGGAACATTAAATGCATTTTCTATGCAAACGAAACTCATAATCAGGTGACAACCAAAGTATAGCGTCTTACCATACCCGTAATATAAAACACCCCGTTTCGAAATGTCTTGGAAAAGCTCATTCACGCTCGAATGCAGCATACCAGTGCTTTATGCATTATTTTGTTTAATGGTTGAAAGATAAGGTCTTTAAAATAGTATATGGCATAGTGCGTTATATAGGCTGTGAGTTTTGCACCGATGAACTTGTGACCATGGTTTGTACCTATGTATGTATGCATAACACTCCAATGTATGTACAGTCTGCTTTTCTTTTTGCTCTATCTTAGATCAAAAGTTATAAGCGAAAAACATTTGACCTAATTTAGCGAAATTTTTACATTTATATCCCCCAAAAACTCCCTAAATATTGACCTAGAGCAACCAAATTTGCACAGGGGTGAGAACTCCAAGGGGCCCACCTATCTACCAAATTTGGTGTTTCTAGGTGCCATAGGAGCCAAATGCCCTGCCAGGGCGAGGGTTAAAAGTACCGCGCAAAGTGACGGTGGATCCATCAACCCTGACCGAGGAAGGGCCTGCTATAATTTGAAAGTCACCGAACCAATTGACCTGGGGAATGGACGAGGATATCCATTGTTTCGGTGACTAGCAGTCCTTCCTCGGTCAGGCTTGATGGATCCCAGCCCAGTTGCTTTGCGCGGTACTTTTAAGACATACTGTGCAATGACGTAAGCTTTAAAACCTACCACGTGGAGGCTTGAGATCGTAAATAAATAAATATAGATAAATACCTAATAGTACATGGTCAAATAACTAGTCTAGCGGTGACACACTTCCCCTCGCCAGTATTGGTGTTTTGACAGCCGCAAACGTATAAGGGCGGGGGAAGTCCGTTGGACCCCCTTGCCGTCTCACCCCTGATCGAGCTAGAGCTTCGCGAAACAACGAGCGTGTTTCCCGTGACAAGAGGAAGCCGATGATACCCAATTTTAAGGTCCTAGGTCATTGGTTGACCTTCCAAGCCAGGTCAATGGCCCAAAAGTCGGGAAAATCGAGACCAGTTAGGTCGTAAAGTGTGGCTGCTACGGGGTTATTCGGGGTTCTGATCACGAATATCATGTTAGTTTTTATCACAGATGATGTCTTCATGCTTTTAGGCCAGGTCGGGTCAGGTCAGTTCAGGTCAACCAGTAGTGGTTTTGCCGGGTATTCGTAGTAGGTGTCAACCGCCTCTGACAGCTTCGTAACATGTTACAATGGCACCAAAACTACTTCGTAAATGCTCATATGGTTGCTAAATTCGAATTAAGCTAAAAAAAAAACTAGCCTAGAAACATGTAAAAGTAAACCGAGCTCATTTAAGGTCAGTGACCTGTCCTGAGCTTCAAGTGAACTTGACACCCACCCTAACGCATAGGAGCAATATCATATCACATGTTTGAACCCTTGAAACCACGAAAAGAGTGCAAACGCGCGGCTAAGAGGAGACGACATACGCCGAATCGCGATTCCGGCCAAACATGGTCTCGAAAAGTAGGTCACAGGTCACAGGTCAAAGGTCATTTGCGTCAGGGTCATGATTTTTTTTTTATAAATTTAGTCCGAACCTTTTGATGGGAAGGATTCACAAGGACAGAGCCACCGCTAAGCAAAGCTTGTTGCGATGACCCTGCCCTCTACCCTCCGATCGCGCAATTCCAGTTCTATGGCAGAATTTAGAGTCCAAAGTTTAACGTGCGCACAAAGCCGCGCACGGCCGGTCCCCTCGCTGACTTCGCCTGGCTACGGCCTGCCACCAACCGCAACCATACCTGTCAGGAGGCCCATAAATGTCGAGCGCCCGTCGCGCTTCGAACCCGGACTGTCATAACCGGGAACGCGTGCTCTCACCACGCGGAGTCCAACGCTCTAACCAACTGAGCTACGGGACCGGCTGTTGTTAGGGTAGGTGTAAAATTGATGAACGCGAGGGTAATGAAAGTTCCGTCGCGATCAGCAGGTTTTTACGCGAGTTATTTGCGAAAACCGAGAGGGGGCTGTTCGACCCCCCCCCCCCCCCCACCTATACCGGCGAGGGCTAAGGGGGAGGGGCGTTTCTCACGGTTCTTCCTACCTAAGATCATTGTTAAGATCTGAAATGAGAAATCATAAAACATGGCTCACAGCAGGGCTGAAGCGTGAAATACGCAAGCATGGCTACTCAAGCTCGATCAGCTCAACGATTAAAAAAGCAGTTCAGGCTCTCCGCCGATGATGACAGCCTGGTCGGGTAGTTCGCTCCGCGGCAGGGTCCGTCTACTTTGTGCGGCGCGGCACGGCGCGGCGGGGGGGGGGGGAAGGCGGCGATGCGTCTGAAAGGCGACGCTCGGACGTCCCGGGAATCACCTGTCACCATGCGGCGCGGCGGTCGGTACCTCCGACCCTTCCCATTGTTACCTGACTGCGGGTGCCGGTTCCCCCGGAAGGGTCACTTTGGTATGCGAAATCTTCACTCGTTAATCGGACAGGAGGGGAGCAGTAGACATTCGATGGAGTAGGCGATTCGGGCGTAGGTCAGCGGGGCGTAGACATTCGATGGAGTAGGCGATTCGGGCGTAGGTCAGCCGGGCGTAGGTCACCCGGGCGTAGACATTCGATGGAGTAGGCGATTCGGGCGTAGGTCAGCCGGGCGTAGGTCACCCGGGCGTAGACATTCGATGAAGTAGGCGATTCGGGCGTAGGTCAGCCGGGCGTAGGTCAGCCGGGCGTAGACATTCGATGGAGTAGGCGATTCGGGCGTAGGTTAGCCGGGCGTAGGTCACCCGGGCGTAGACATTCGATGGAGTAGGCGATTCGGGCGTAGGTCAGCCGGGCGTAGGTCACCCGGGCGTAGACATTCGATGGAGTAGGCGATTCGGGCGTAGGTCAGCCGGGCGTAGGTCACCCGGGCGTAGACATTCGATGGAGTAGGCAATTCGGGCGTAGGTCAGCCGGGCGTAGGCCACCCGGGCGTAGATCACCCGGGCCTGAGCCTTTCCAAGATAACAGGGATTAAAACACCATGGTCTGGGAATGGACAACGAAATGCGGGCTAATATTGATCATCAGCGTTTGTACCAGCCAGACCTATAGGTTGGCCGTGAAGTGCCATATTTTCATTACATATTGCATTAGGATAGACTGCTTATCACGACATTTATCGATTGAAATTAATTGAATTAACTGTAAGTGACATTTTTCACAGGAACTTCAATGGAAACAAATCGTCGGACTGTCCGCGGTCGCGGCATCTGTCTGCGGTTCCCCCGCTCCTCGCGTGTTTCCTGAGGAGGGGGAGGGGGAGGACGCCGAGCGGTCCGAGGCGCGCATCCGCCGGCCCGGGGGGCCAGATTCAGAAGGCAACGTCTCCTCGGGAAGCTGGGAAAGTGCGTGACAGCTTGAGCGACCAAACAGGTGTCAGTGCAAACGCGAAAGAAGTGGTTGGGTCAAGGCGCGCTGTGAAAGCAGCGAGATCGGAAGCTTCTTGGAGATTAAGAGATGCGGAGTCTTTGCCGCTGTCCAAGCGTGGTACGTAGCAGGGTGGTGGTGTTTAGTTGCAATGTAGTGGCTGGGACTGCACTCTGATCAAAATGATGCTAGTGAACCCATAGTGTTGTATTATTGTTATCGTGTTCATATAGCCAAAACCATTTATTGTTTACTAGTGTTTTATTACAGGCTAATTGAAAGCCAACGTCTAATGTAGTTTGTTTTTTTATCGTCTTTTTTAACTTTTTTCATTCAGAATTGTTTCATTGCTCACTGACGATATGAAATGGCTTTCAGAGGCTGCAGTGGCGCGGACCCGGCGACTCTCCGACTCGGACAGTGGAGTGGATGATGCCTGTTCGATGCACTCGTCAGTTAGCAGTCGGGTACGTGCCGCCCGTGAGCTAAGCCAGTGAAAGAAATGGCTTTAATGCAGCGTGTTAGGAAATTTGAGAACTACTTACAACAAGTGGAGCTAGGATTTTTTAGTGCACATGGCGCACACAAAACTAATATTGTGTTTTCTCTTCTTTGCTAATTGAAGGTAAAGTCATGACCAAAAATTTCCAAATGAGTAGTTTCGGTCTGTTCTTACCGCTGATCTATTGTTTGAAGTTTCTATTGCACCCATAATTTTGACTAGCTGGTAACTTCATAAGTCCGTACATTGTATGATGCCTCTTGACGGCCATTTTTTCGAAAGTAAAGCTTGGGACAAAATCTGCCCCCAGCGTTAGCCCTACCAGTCAGCTGAACCACGTCAGACGTGGTTAATGGTGCTGTCATTGTACCCGGGCGTGGGTTAATGGTGCTGTCTCATTGTACCCGGGCGTGGGTTAATGATGCTGTCATTGTACCAATGGCGTGAGTATTGCCTCCATTGACGTACCGCGTCCCGTCGCCAGGCATCACGGGGCAGCGGCGACGGCCTGCCGTCTGGCCCCGGTGACGAGCTGATAAACTGTGACCAGTGCGGCCGGCTGTGCGTGGACGGCGACTGCCTGCTGCACGGCCAGCCGATCCCCGTGTGGGACTCGGTGGTGCCCGCGGACACGCCTCCCCAGGAGCGCGCCGCCCGCTCGGTGCCCTCTGTGCTGCGAGTCGGCCCGTCGGGGGTACACCGCGGCGGGCTGGGCGTGTGGACCCGGCGCCCGCTGCACCCCGGCCTGCGCTTCGGGCCGTACCTGGGCCGGCGAGAGGGCAGCCGGTCGCGCGCCGCCGCCGGCGGCTGCAGCTGGGAGGTGCTGCGTAACGGCCGGCTCTGGTTCTGTGTGGATGCGGCCGACCCGGCGTGCGCCAACTGGATGCGCTACGTCAACTGCGCGCCGTCTGCGGCCGATGAGAATGTCACGGCATACCAGCACCGCTGGCGCATCTGGTACCGCACGTGCCGCCCGATCGCCGCCAACACCGAGCTGCTCGTCTACTACGGAGACGAGTACAACCAGGAGCTCGTGCGCGAGGCAGCGGTGCAGCGGCGCCAGCCTCCCCGGGGTGGGGACAGAACAAAAACAGGTGTTCGGTGCCATGCTACATTCACAGTTACCTGACCATTTAAGCTTGAAGGATAGCGAGGCCGACTTTTTGTTCTAGTATGGCGTACTCTTAGAGTGCTGGCGTGTGATGTGTAGGTATTGATTGAAGGCTGCTCCACTTAGCCCAACTATAAGCACAAGTGCCTTATTTCAGGGATGCTTTCATTGTTGGGCATCTCCGTTTCTATTCCGCCTATTTAGACGATGTTGCGAAGGCAACCATCCCTTCCAGCCACTGCTACCACGAGTTCGGCGGCCACAGACTTTCACAGGGATACAGAGAGGGCTTTCGGGTGTTGCATGGTGTGGAGGGGCTCCGGTGCGGGTACGCTGTCGTGTTAGGCGGTAGTTAGCTACATACGCCGGTCTGTGAAGTTACGGGTTTCGCGGCTGTGACCGACCGCCTTTCAGGCCGGCGTCAGGCTCAGGTCTCAGGTGTGCCAACGTTTGCTGGGCTGATTTTGTGCCTGAGCTGGGCATATGCCGTAGAGTGGATCTGAGTGGTGCCCTATCAGTGTTGTTTACCTGTCACAGAGGTTTCATGAACTACGTGGCGACTTGGAACGGGAAGGGCCTGTCCGTAGTGGGTCTGGTTTGTGCGTGTCCTCGCCTACCATCGTAATGCATTTTACTTCCATGTTCGCCGCCTTGTGGAGCCCAGTTGCAATGTGGCTCATTGCAATGGAATCTCGCCCAACTGCCCTCATCGCTTATATTATCTTTGGCAACGCTAGTAAAGTAATCTTGGGCAACATTAGCTCTCCTGAAAAAGTAGAAAGGAGACCTCATATAATCAAGCTAAACTGTGATGTCCGGTACAGATGTGTGACGCTGCACCGATGTCTTATGCCGGGAAATACATTTTTTATTTGTTCACAACTGTCACCTTATGTTTGTCTCCATGGAGGCGCGGAGCAGCTGGAGAGCTTTGCGGCTACGCTCTGAGGCAAAGCTGTGTCATAACTTCGCAAAACCCATCAATGTCTGTAATTAATAATTATAGCGCTTGGTTTACACCGGAACGCCAACATTCTATGCTCAGATGACATACATATTACATACCTATGTAGCGAGCAGTGTCAAAATAACTGCGGCTCGTATCATTGGTATCCTAAAGGCTGAAACAGACTCTTTCCGCGTTCGGGAAATCGCATGCGAGAGCCTATTTAAATACATTATAATTCTTCCCGCATCAATCGCATCCGGGAGGTGCGTGCGATTGATGCGAGCGTGCTTCCATGTATTTCAATAGGCTCTCGCATTCGATTTCCTGACTGCGGAAAGAGTCTGTTTCAGGCATAAGGCTTGCTAACAAGATGCGCCATTTCACGAATTGCGCATCGTAGGTACCTAAAAGATGTTACAATATTTTTATCACCACAACTAACATCAATCAGTTATATGCGAAAATCAGTGGCTACGTTTTTTCTGTCATAGAAAATTGTTTCAATTAGCCGCGCGTCGGGCCGGTGCTCCGCGCCGGGCGGGAGGGGTGTTTGCCCCCCCCCCCCGTTCAGTTCAGCTCCCAGGATACCTAACGACACGCGCTAAGCGGCATTCGAAAGAGCGTCAGAAATCACTAAGACAGTTTCTGGGCATTTTTCTTAGGCCAGGACAGAGGTCAGGCCACAAGAGGTCATCAAAGGTCAAATTTCGCATATTCATAAGTTTTTTTTACAAATTGGCGTCAACTCTGGAGCGAACAGAGCTGCGCCGTGGACAGGGCATTCAATGATATTTTAACTCACTTTCTGGAGATAGGCTCAAATTTGAGCTATGTACGTCAACGACTCAGCCTCTAAAGGGGAAAATCTCTAAACCCTCGCCCGTATTTGTGTTTTGTCAGCGTCTAACGTATAGTGTGTGTGGGGGGGGGGGATCCGTTCCCCTTCCCCCCGTGCCGTTCGGCCTCTGCTCGAGCGAGAGCTTCGCGGAAAAAAGCGTACTGCCCATGACGAGAGGAGGCTGATGATGCCCAATTTTAACCCTCGCTAGACCCATTGGTTTTCTATACATACGCGCCGGCCGAGGAGGGAGGGGAACGACCCCTCGCCGTGTTTCGCCCTTAACCCTCGCCCCGTTGGGGGGGCATTTTGGCCCCCCTGTGGTTTTTCCTGAATAGCAAGAAAACGGCGGCGCGCAGCGCCGCCAAATTTTCAGTACCTTCCCTGGCATCAATTTGACACCTTCACACCAAATTTCAAGTCTTAGGTCACCTTAGGTCAGGAGTTATTGAGGTCAAACTGAGGTCATGTTCGAGCAAAAATGAGCAAAAAACATGCAATCTTGAAACGCTCACCAAATCTACAGTTATCAAGCAATTTCAAAGTTCTTTATATGGTCTAGTAGATAAAAAGCGGCGCTACAAAACTGCTATCTCGGATTTTCAAAATTTTAGGTTTTTGACCCAAAAAATTCAAAAAATTTGTTTTTTTTTAGAAAAACTAAAAAAAAAATCCAAAAATTTTCCGAATTTCGAAAAACCTGGAATATGTGTGATAGTCCCTGCACTCTTCTATATACATACCAAATGTCAGATCGATATCTCGTTTTTTGGCCAAGTTATAGCGAAAAAAACTGTTCAAAAATGATGACGTCAAATTTTTGAACTCAATTTTTAGCGATTCTAGACCATGTACGGCAAAACAAAGACCACCATTGAACTCCCCGTGACGAGCTGCATCGATTCGATACCCATTTTATGCAAAAATATTAACTTTGAAATTTGACCTTATTTGACCTGACCTTGACCTGACCTTGACCTGACCTTGACCTGACCTTGACCTGACCTTGACCTGACCTTGACCTGACCTTGACCTGACCTTGACCAAAACGTGACCTAAGCTGGCCCCAAAGGCTGCTTGACCCACATAATCGCATTTGTCATGTAAAATGGGTCATAAAACATGTATCACACGACACTTTCATATTGTGACCCCCCAGTGACCTGACCTCTGTGACCTGACCTGGTATCAGTGACCTCAAATAGCAAAATATGTGTTTGAGGAACATTTCCCTATCGATGATTTTCAATGCAATGCATTTTACTCGATTTTACAACGCATTTCCTGAAATGCCTGTAAACGGTGAAAATTGGACCTTTGACCTGACCTGTGACGTCATCGGTTTGACCTGGGTCAATAAAATTGGGTCACAAGGTAGTTCCCTGATAGGGCTATCCAACACCGTTTGCCGCTTGTCGCTAGGTTGCGTGGTTCTCGAGATCTTAGGAGGGCCAAAATGCCCCCCCCCCCCCCCAGCGTTGCTCGGCAGAGCCCAACGGGGCGTGGGTTAACACGCGCACCGACGGGGGGGGCGGATGTCCGCCCCCCTGAGGTTTTTCGCAAATAGCGGAAAAACCGCGGCGCGTAGCGCCGCGAAATTTGGTACGTCTATTCTCTCATCAATATTACACATGGTGTGCAAGTTTGAACCTCCTAACTTTCAAGGTCAGGTCACCAGGTCATTTTGAATGACCCAACCTCAAGTCACTTTTTTGCAACTTTGTCACCGTGCCAGAGCTACAGTAGATGTCGGAGGCCTTTGAAATTCGCAGGTTGTTATGAGATCATTAGTAGCTACAATTTGTTTATCACGGAATTTTGATATCGGTGACCTAAGGTCAGGTCAATTTCTCGACCTCCCCATTATAAGTCAATGGGGGAAAATCAACTCCCTGTTTTTACCACGAAAACGGGTCGGAATGGCACCATATACCATACATGACTTCATATACGATCAACCTTCACTACCTTGATGTCTGTTTTGCTATTGGGCAGCTGTAAGGTCATGTGACGTCATCAAAGGTCACCAGCGGTTTTTTGCCAATAACTCCGTACAGGAACAAGATACAGCCGCGCGGATGGTCTCATTGTGTTCAGCTCGTCAAGACGCATCGAATGATATACATGATGACCTCGAGGTCACGTGATCTGAGGTCAACCTTTGACCTTGACCTTTCGAGGTCAACATATATATCATTCGATGCGGATTGACGAGAGGATCACGATGGTGCCCTTAGTTTGTTCCTATCTTGACTAATTCGAAAGTTATTTGAGAAAAACTCTATATCTAGCGCCGCCATTTTGAATTTTTTTGACCCCTGTGACGTCATCTTTGACCTGACCTGAAAATGACCTGAGTAAAAATTGTAGACCTTGTCCGTGCGTATCCGATGCCGTTTACTGCTTGTCGCTATCTTGCTTCGTTCTCGAGATCTCAGGGGGGGGGCGGTCATCCGCCCCCCCCCCCCCGTCGGTACGAAGTTGGCGCAGTCGGTGCGCGGGTTAATAGAGCTATATAGCGTCGCGGAAAAAACGAGCGTGTGCTCCGTTACGAGATACAGCAACTAGTACTCGATTTTAAGGTCAGTCAGGTCAACCCTGAGGTCTCAGGAGCTCAGCGTCCAACGCAATATCGAGACATGCATGAGGAAAGCAAGCGGCAAATATTTATTTATGTGATACATCATATCATAGACCTCTGTACACCGGTGTACAGAGGTCTATGGATACATATATCTCATTTGTCGATTGTTTCGGACATCAACACTCCACAGAGATCAGATTCTAACATTTCACGCCAGACGATTCCCATTTCACAACAAGTACCAAATGCAAAGACGATTCGAAACGGTCAAGCTCAGGCTAATAGGCCTGCGCCCTGGTGGGGTCTGCTCATTAAAGAGTTGAGTGGGTCTGCTTATAACGCGACCTGGGGGAGCCATTTTTTGCCCCCTCCCCTCGTATCTCTGAAACTACTGGACGGATTCGCAAAATTCAAACAGCGTTCGATAGCCCTGTCAAATTTCACAAGGCAAATTTAATTTCATTGACCTCGGGGTCACCGATAACGTCATTGACCAGGTCAAAGATAACACATATCACATACTCGGGTCTTCTAGGGAATGCGCTATAGCATCGAGTAAAATGCATTTTATCGAAAATCGTAGATAGGGCGTCAGTTGCCTAGTACATATGTTGCTAAAAGAGGTTACTGATACCAGGTCAGGCCACAGAGGTCAGGTCATTAATAAAGGTCAGCACATGAACCCAATTTTACTGGGGCTCTGCAATGCATGTTTTATGGTCAATTTTTTATTTCAAATTCAATGGTGCTGGTTAAACGACCCGATCAGGAACGGTTTCGGTTACTTTCTGGTGGAGGTCAGGTCAATGTCAGGTCAGTACCTAAAGGTCAAATTTCGAAGTTGATATTTTGGCATAAAATGGGCATCGTTTCGATGCTTCCTGTCACGGGTAGTCTGATGGGGTCTTTGTTTTGCGCTACACGTAGTCTAGAACTGCTAAAAATTCAGTTTGAAAATTTGAAGTGAATCAATTTTGAACAGTTTATTTCGCTATAACTTGGCCAAAAAAGAGGTATCGATCTCAAATTAGTTATGTGGATGAAAGACGGTAGTGGCTATCAATTATCATATGTGCTCCGTTTTTTTCGAAATTCGAAAACTTTTGGATTTTTTTTTGCTTTTATTTTCAGAGTACGAAAGGAGTCCAGCACCTTTTGGGGCTTCGTTTATGGTCGGACAGCATTTTACATTTCTCACTCAGTGCACTATTCAAAAGTTCAACATATTTAAAGGCATTCTTCAAAGCCAGAACCATAGACCTCTGTATGCCAGAGCATATGTTTATGTGCTGGTTTGTCTTACATGTCCAATTGTCCAATCACTCTAGTGTATCAAAATAATAAAAGTATATCTTTTTTAATATTTCAAATCAAAACATGAATCAAGAAATCGGACAATGTTCAGTTGCTGAACATGTTCCTGTCCTGTCAACTTTTTCAGAATGTTTCAGAGGTTGGACCGGATGCAAGAAGAATAAGGATAATGGAATAAGCTGAATTAGGTTTACAAACAGTTGCATTACAACTTGAACAGCTAGTAGGAGACGTTTGCTTGAAAACAGCTGCTGCCTGCTGGAAAAGGTCTTTATTCCAGACTTCAGTGACACATACGATATTCATGCGTACTTACCTATCGCATATTTGATAGATATTACAATGATGAGATGACACCAGGCGCGGATACAAGGGGGGGGCCATGGGGGCCATGGCCCCCCCCCCCCTTGGCCGATTTTTTTCAAAAATAAAATAAAAAGTTAAAAAGTTAAAAAGCTGAAAAGGGGGCCTCCTGAAAATAAAGTGGCCGAAATCCGATGAGTTTTTTTTTTTTAACCTACCCACTTAGTTATTTCTTAGAAGACTAGCTGAGAAGACTTCTTTGTTAGAAGATTGGTAAAGCTTTTCATAACTTGGAGGTCTCTTATACTCACAGAGATGACCACTTTTACAGGGCCTCCTAACCTGCACAGAGGGCCTCCAAGCCTGCACAGATGTTGAGATGTTGCCTGAACAGCTAGATAAGCTCAATAGACGCAGTTTTTTTTTGGGGGGGGGCCAACAAGTGGGAAGATGGGGCCTCCAACAGGTGGGATTATGGGGGGGGGCCTCCTGGTTTCTAATGGCCCCTCCCTTGGAGATTTTCTGGATCCGCCCCTGGATGACACACACCATATGCATGTATGTACAACCTGCGTGTATGGCGTATGCAGATTGCTCACAAGACACAAGCATACTTGCACGCACGGTTGCTAAATACATTCCATTGCTCAGCACACATTGCGCTGTCAACATAATACTTTGCACCGTGCGCGCACGGCGTACACATTGCACTTACGAGTACACATATGTAGGTAACTAGGTACATCATACGCATACCAATGCGTGCAATGAAGCCAGCGGTAATCTAATCTTAAGGCTAGCACCAGCGGTAAACGGTTCATATTGACAACTGGGCTGACTTTGAATGACGCATGGCATGACTTAACTTTAAAGTTAAAAGAAAAATTGACCTGCAGATGTTGTGGCGTTGGGACCTGCACCGCCTGCTGGCTGGGTAGTCGTCGCCGTCGGTCGGCCAACGTGTTTGGCTGACGTTGCTAGGCAACGGCAAAGCATTCCCAAATGACGCGCATGCGACGAATCCGGCGGACGCCGGCCGGCAGTAGCAGACCGACGAGTGACGCCGGCACGTAGTCGCCGTTCAGAGGGTTGGCTGACTGACTCAACACCCTGCTTGTGACGAGCATTTTGCTAGTTTCTTCAATTACTAACATCGTTAACTTGTGAGGATAGATACGGGGTGTCCTGCCATCTCAACGCTTGTGTGCTGAAGGAAGGTGTGGCGAATCCAGGTAGGTTCTCTTCCCCATTTTTGATTTCAATCCGGTATCAGAGCTTGAGCATTGTCTGAACGAGTTTTTTTTTTTAATTTACAACGATATCTTAAACAGCTTACGCAATCTACCCCATGCTTGCCTTCGTTTTAAGTACTTATATACCTACCCGCTAACAAGGCTTACTGCTTAGTAAAAATGGAATGCCTCCTTTTGGCAGTAATGACAAAATCTTATCTTATCCTTCGTTTCCCGGTCGTTAAAAAAGGAAGCGGCGCCAGCCTCTGTTTATGTTAGTTGTTACCGGTGATAAATAGATCACACAACATAAGCGTGCCACTCCTTGCTAAACGTACCATGCGGCATGCCACGACGGATAGAACGCGGCAGCCGACATTTAGGTATGACAGAAGTAATTCGGTCTAAGCTAATGGTATGGCAGAAGTCTGCTGATTAAATGAAAACTACCTAATCCTCCTTGACTAGCAAATTTAGAATGGTCATCCATTTATGAGCTGTTTTATCTCTGGACATGTTTATAAAGTCTGATGGCCAAGAGTTGCGAACGAAAATTATAATTAAAATCTAAATCTTTTTGTATTTCAAATGAAATACAAAATGAAATACAAAATGAAATACAAAAAGATTTAGATTTTAATTATAATTTTCGTTCGCAACTCTTGGCCATCAGACTTTATAAACATGTCTTACAATACTGAACAATCTCTGGACATCTCTGTAAAGCAAAGAACTACGCAAAATATTTCTAAGAAGTTTTCCAGGATACGAGATCCATCAAAATATTTTGTCGTGAATTTAATATAAATCTTCTGCACAATGCACAATGCACATTGCGGGTCTCATTTAAATCAGGCGCGGCTAAATTATCACGCATCATTGGTATAACCTTCTTAAAATGGTCTTAGCACAGATTGAGCAAAAGCGTCCAAACCATTTAACCACGGCAATTGGTTTTGTACATCGTACATAACGTTCGCCAGTGATAACTTCCAGCTCCTGACTTTTCGACGCATGATGGTAAAATTTCATTCGATGCGTCAATCCTCGCTGCGGCGATAGGCACGTGCGTCTCCGGTCTGCTATGACAGCACGTTATCCGACTGTCTGGGGCGCAGGAATGCATGGACTATAGCGACTACTGCCGGCTGAGCAGCTCGGACGAAGAGGATCAGCAGCAGCAGCAGCAGCAGCGACGGCGGCGGGGCCAGCAGCCGGCTGATATGACCGAGCTGATGAGCGGACAGGCGTCAGCCGGCAGACATGGCGGCCTGCCCGCCAACGGAGACCTGCCCTTCTACGCCCTGCCCAGGGCCAAAAAGACGTCTGCAGAAATCATACATGAGGTTAGTTGATGACATCCCCTTTCTTTATCGTTAACTTTTTTGCAACGATTATTTTGCAAACCAACAGTCAAGTTTTTTTATGCTACTACCCAGTTCCTATTTCATTTAAATCTTTTGCAATATAACTAGCTATTCTATTCCATTCTCAAATACCACATTCTCATGCTTTTATCTGCGCCGATGTGATCACATCATCGGCTGAAAGCTGTTTGACTGAGATCTGTCTCAACTCGAGTGTGACCGCCTCTGGTGTGTGCGTGTGTCGGCTCAGGCTCGCGCGGCGCTCGGGGACGGCCGGGCCGTGGTTCGAACCGTGGACACGAGCCGTCCGTTCACGCCACGAGACCGCCAGAGGACGCTGTTCGGTACGGCCCAGACCTCGCCCACGTCCGGCCGGCCCACCAGTGCGTTCAGGTGAGAGCGGAGAGAGGATGGGAGGAAGGATGTCCTGTCTGACTTGTGACACTACATAGCCTGTAGAACGTGCAGGTCATCGCATACGATTACAGACACGGACATGTTAGCGTTATTATATGAGGAAAGTAGACAAGGTAATGGTGTCTTGAGGGTGTGTGGTGTGCAAGCTAATGGCTTGAGTTGAGTGTGTGATGAGTGTGAAATTGAGGGGCAATCAAGTAAGAGTGCAATGCATTTTTAACTTGAGCTTTCAGTATAGGGAAGTGTAAAACCAAGGAGAATATTAGGTCAATACATAGGCGGCACAAAACTACCTTCGGGTGAGCTAGAAGTATAGCGACGTTCTATTACGTTTCAAAGTTTAATTGAAAAGCCGACATGCCTCTGTTTCAATGGTCTGCCGGTCAGTGGGCGTTGCGGTCGGCGCTGACCGACACGGTGGAAGGCAGTGAGCGGTAGGGGGAGGCGGGGCTGTAAGGAACGTCGTCGGTGGTGGTGGGCGGGGTGGGAGGGAGAGGGACGGACTGGACACGCACATTGGGGTGCTATGGATCGGCGTGATCCGGCCATTTAGGCCACCAGGTCACCAACGCAGGCCAGATGGAAGCCGCGACAAGCGAATAACACGGTGCAACGCTGATATCATCCAAGTACCCACAGTGCAATGCAAACATGTAATATTCGGTTGTTATTCTTGTAGGGCGTTATTCATTCACAGTAAGAATACGTATTTGATGATAATATTACACTAAACTCATAAGTCATAACAAATTACATTACGTTGGCGGTGCTCGGAAGAGAAGGCAATACTTTCAAGGGATTTGACAAGATTAGGTAAATTGTCTGGACGCTACAAAGCTAAGCAGAATCGTCTAACAAACAAATTCATCCGTCTTAAAAGCACAATGATGCCAATATCCCCTTACGAACCAGGGTCGATGAAAAAGTATGGTCTGTTATGTCCTGCTGTGTCTGTCCGCCGTGCAGTCTAGCTACCTGGAGTGGTATACTGTACCGCAGTACGTTAGAGCCGGGCGGGCCAGTCTACCAGCGCAGGCGGGCGCGTAATCCCGGGCTGCGCGGCGGGCCCGACTACGCTTAGCAGTTAGTTCCTGATAAAGATAGCAATTTTAGACGCACAGTGTTTGGTTTGAGTTTGCGACGGCGTCTTTCGTTTGAAGACGTTGCATACATCTCCAAATTTCGTGATTTTGCATGCCTGGTGGATAAAATTAAAGAGCCGTGGCATCAACCACGCTGCACAGTGCACGCACGCATTATTCGTTTCGCTGAATAGCCAGCAGGAAAAATTCAGATCCAGACTGTCGTCCACTGTCGTCAATCATCTATCTACTGCCTTGTGTGCACCAATTACGCATACCTACTGAAGTAGATACACCTCCCTAATAACCGCCGAAGCCCTCCAGGTGGCGGTCGATCATCAGTGCACCCGGCGGGTCAGTTCGGCAGTGACCCTGACCTTCGCGCGCACACAGCACAGAGCCGGCGGTGACGCCATTCACAGGGGCCCAGTCGCAGACGAACGCCGTCCGCAGTGGCCTGTGCGGGCCGGGCCGCATTCAGTCGGCGTGACAGTGCCTGGAAGCGGACCCATAGAAAACAGCGGGCATTGGGCGACGGTCGATTGTGGGCGAACTCAAGGACAAACAAATACGAATTCCCCAGTGCCGACGCCAGGCTGGCGATAAGCTGGCCAGAATGTTATGCTGAATGTTAATGTTGAGCGTGACATGCTTTAATTTGGGGCTTGATTATAAGAATTGATTGAATACCAGTCTCTTCATTAAAACGACATTTTGAACATTGCTTTTCATGAATGAAAAATTGCATGATGGTCAGGCAAATAAATCAGGTTGACCTTTTCCTCGACATAAAAATGTACAAACCAAAAGTAATGTATGTTTAAAAACGGTGAGGATTCGGCCACTGGCTTTTATCAAAGCAACGTGATAGATAGCAAAATTCGAAAACGATGCATCAAGTTTTTGAAAGTGCTATCTAACTATCACGTTGGTTTGATAAAGTTGAGTGGCCAAAAGATCACCGTTTTTAAGTATATTTTTCGGTTTTTACATTTTTGATGTCGAGGAAAAGGTCAACCTTATTTATCAGCCTAATTATACTGAATATGTTCCTCGCGAGCACTGAATAATTTTACTAATCTGAAAGTCCATTAGTTGACGTTAGTATAGTCGCCAGTGATAACCTGGCATCAATGCAATTTTTGGGACTTGAACAGCAGACTTTCAGCTGAAATATCGACTGGCTTTCAGTTGAAATGCCGGTGACAGCAACGGCATGACTGAGCCGTTGCTGGGTTGTGGTTGCCCGCTGAAAATAGGGAATGCTAACCTTGAGCTAGAGCTATGTGAACCGATTATTGATCCGGATTCCACAGGTGAAAGGTTACTCAAACGTCTAGTTTCTTCGCACTTTTATTTCCCTCGCTTCAAAGTCAGTAACTTGTCTTGCAGAATAGAATGGCGATATTATCTGCTATGTTTTTATTTAACACCAAATTGTGATGTCAGCGGCCACTGCGATAAACCACTTTTGAACGTTTTGGTTGGAACTTCCACATATTACAGTTTTTCATTTCACATCAAGACCAATGCCATTTAGATTATGAAAGGGCGGCCTTTTAATATCTGTTTTCAGAAAACGTTAATTTTTTAGTCACATTTCTGTGAAAGAGCAGTTGTGCAAAAGTAAATTTAGAGAATGGCGCCATGAGATCCTAAATCTGTCAGGCAGCATAAGAACATATTTATGACGCTGGGCCCTGCACTGAACCGCCACTGACCTGTCGTCGAATCGTTGATATCTCTGCACTCACCCGGCCGTGACCTGCTGTCCAATCTGTGGCACCCCTGCACTGACCTGCCAGTGACCTTTCGGCTGATCTGCGCCCGCCGTCTGCCGTGACTCGGTATGCGGCGCACCACCGGTCGATCACGCCTGGAATGTGACGTGACGGTCACATCGGCTAAAACTGGCAGCCGCAGCCATGACTGCATATGTAGACGGCCGCTTCGGGTCCAATAAGTTTCCAATCTTGAACAAAAGCACATAGCTTAGCACAACTATTTCAGCTGCTTGGGCTTCATTGGCTGAATTCAATCACAGTAATACTAATACGAATGTGTTCCACACTGACATACGCGCACTTTATTAACCACAGCCACACCCGTAGACTCTAAGAGGACATTAACCGCGGATACTTTGTCATCTCTATCTTTAGAGCAAACATATACCATTGGCTGTACGCTCAGATGTCAAATGCTGCACTCCACAAGCTTAGCATAAACCTTTACAAAAATAGCGTTATATAAGCAAGCCATGCTGGTCTAAAACTGCGGAGCCTAATGGGACCTTCAGAAAGGTCATGGAGGAATTTGCCCACAACAGCTTCGACGCATTCGTTCATGGTAATGGGGACGATGCTTGCTCCAATATACCCACTGATCGCTGCTGATCATGTATCAAGGAGAGCTCCAGCCCCTGCTGAGTGGTCAGAGCGGTAAGCTCACGGAGCCGACGGCTGATCTGTGACCAAAATAGAGTCGGAGAGACCGCTGAGTCCCAGGCCGAGCTCTTACCTCCTGAGCTGGCCTTCAGGCGCCCCGACCGGACACTTCTGTGATCTGACCTGCAGCCTCCAGCTCTTTGGCATAATCTCTCATGCTCTGACCTGACCTCCGGCGTCCTGACCTGACTCTCCACGCCTTATCCGCGTGACAGAAATGACGTGATGACTTGGTATGATGTGACATGACGTGTCAATGACGTGACATGGCGTGACCAGGCGGCGTCCCAACACTTCCCGGTAGCCGTGATGCGATATCGTGATACCACCGGTCGAACCTAGAGAGCGGCGTGACAATCGATACATCGTCAGTGGTCAAGTCGTTTCTCGAAACAACTGTTCGTTTTCGATTTGCTTAGACGTCGGATGGGCGGCTCTTGGAACTCGTAGATTAATGTCCAGATTAGTCCATAATGTCCATGCACATTTGTTTAGAAGGATGATGAAAATTAATAGGCATTTTGCTCGTAACTATTAGAAAGTCAAAACATGTTTTTCTTTTTTGTTATGAGCAAAAGACCACCAACCTAAATGTCATCATCCTTTCAACAATTTTCACCATTCTCAGCTTACGTTCAGATACACAGTTAATGCCATAGATAACATATTTTCTTATAATATACTTCCATATGCCTGCTTATGAGATAATAGTATAACTTACCTATAAATCTCAATTAGGTATCTAAGTTGCACCGATAGTTGTGTGCAATTTAGCTAATCGTGATCGGCCATGGATTATCATAAATGCTGGATAGCTGATCTTATCAGTTATCAATGACATAGCTGCTTTTAGGACTTTCATACGGCGATACGTCAGTGTGTCTAGGAATGTATTTATTGCTGTACAAGTTCTATGCAAGCTATGCCCGAACTCAACCGAGGCTTCCGCCCGACCATTTCATGGACGAGCTAATCCTGTTCTCAGTTTCATCAAAGTTGTGTGTTTATGACCAACTGTCGGTCTCAAGGGATTTCCGAGCTCCACGAAAGGCACAATCGACTCCTGTATCAGTAAAAACAGGCCGTGTTTTGCTTTCTAAGCGTTGTGTTCTGGTTCTCTGTTGATGCCCTCCGTGCCAGGCACGCGCTGCTTCTCGCTGATTGGTCGACGATGAACCGCGTCACGCGTGGCGGCTCTCTGATTGGTGGCAGCCTCCGGCGATCGCGACTGATCGTTCACATGATGCGCGTGACGCAGTTAGAGGCAGATTCAGACGGTCCCTCGTCGACCCCCAGTGGAGGGATAAGGGGAGGGGTGATGACTGGCACTACCAGCCAGACTCCTTCCACCGTCCACATCACGGCCGGCGGCTGTCCATCCACTCAGGTTCACACTCACAGGCCTTCCAGCTTTGATAGCCGCCGCCTCCACAGTGGCGGCGGAAGGTATTCTAGGATAGGGGTGCAAACGATATTGAAGCGCCCCTTCCCGCTGGGCGCCCCTTACCATGCCGATGGCCGTCCCTGCACTGGAAAATCAGTTTCGCCCCTATACAGGCGCCCATAGAAGTTTGCAGAGTGCTATTCCTGGTCATAATCATCTCCCCAGTAAAAAAAAAAAGCAAAATACGCCCTAGCACTAGGGGTGTAACCGCCCATACGGACAGTGCAATTTTACAGGCCCCAATCTCGGACCTCCCTTAACATTCATATGTTGTAAACGGCAAACCGCCCCCGATAAATGTTACACAAACTAATTTCCTCTCGCATATCGGCCATCAGGCGCCCCTTTTTTGTCGCGTGGAGCCTGCAACGCTATAAGCCCTCATATGTTCGTGTTGGCGTTCGGAGGCTATCGCCTTCAAAGACGTCTCCATAAATGTTTCTTTTTCGTCCCACACACAGGCGCCCCTCTTCCGCATGGCGCGCTTCTCGAGTAGCTGCGCCCTCCTAGCCTTTATCGCCTGGCAAGATTATATTCGACAGGGTCGGCAGCATCTGCCTTTGTTTCAGATAAGGATGCCCTCCACTCTTCAGCATATCAAAAGATGCTTTTCCCACGTCATTGCCACCCTCTTCGTGTCACAAGTGCCTTTATCAGTTGCGGTGTCGCACTGCTCAGCTTTATGGCTGCCGCACCTCTTAACTTCCTGCCTCCTCTACAGATTTTCGAGGCGCCCCTTTCCATAGCTTTAGGGTGCAGCTGCCCCCCTTGCCCCCCTGCTTCCGCCGCCACTGCGCCTCCAACGGCCACTTGCTCTCAGTACATGTCTTCGAAAAGCGATTTGCACTGCGAAAAATACAGACTTGGAGTGAATAATGTTTTCAGAGCTGTGCTGAGATTTAAAGCGTATTACGCTTAAATGATTTATCATATTTATTGTTTTACAATCACTCCGGGTTTAAGCCCCAAATAGCGAGATTAGTTGTCAGTCAAGGTTTTTTTTTGCAATGTGGGTATTCCATATGATTTGATGTAGGCTGTCATGCTATTCAATAACGATTCTCCGTGCGCCGCAAGCAAATGACTAATGACTAGTATAGACAATTTTTATTGTCTCTGATGCTTGCTGCTTTTGGTGGTTTTGAAATTTGATGGTTAAAAGTATACTAAAAGCAAACATGACATTTACATGCTGAATAATACAATAGCTTGGTATTTATAGTAGGTATAGTATGTATTTGTCTAAAAATGCGGTACCTACTTATATAGGTAGGTATTTTGCTTACGCGCGGGTCTGATGTCTGTCTCTCTGCCGTCCTTTTACACTCTCGCTCCCTAGGCTCACGTCCCAAGGGTCGGGTTTGGCTGGCCTGTACCGTTTGTCGGAAGTGACGGGCGATGGCCGTCTGTCGTGACAGGACCGATTGGGGTCGGCGACGTCCTTATACCACTGATGGCAGCGGACGCTCTGCCGAGCCTCTCGCAGAGACGTGCCGCAGGAATGGGGACAGCGGGAGCTAAGCGAAGCTCACGGGACATAACGGGACCTATGGGGAGGTTACGCGGGACAACGGCATTTATAGGGTAGCTCCCAGGGATTTAGTGCTCGCCTCTGTAAGATGCATTTTACTGTGGAATGGTGTAAAATACATGCTACAGTATTCCACTTCACTTGACTTACGGAACCAGCACCCAAAGGAATATTACCAGTACAGCGCCTTTTGGGGCGACTAACGGAGCGAGCGAGGGGATGAGTCTTGCACGTGCGAAATTTCGAGGGGGTACCTCCAACTGACTTGTGCACGGCACCCTACTGACCGGTTTCTAGCGATGTGCCAAATTTGAGCACAATCGGCCCAGCCGTTCTCGAAATCTGGGAGCGGCACCCTGCACGTGCGCACGTGCAAAATGGGTCCCAACTGACTTGTGCACGGCACCCTACTAACTGGTCCCTAACCGTGTACCAAATTTGAGCGCCATCGGTCCAGCCGTTCTCGAGATCTGGAAACGACCCCTGCACGTGCGCACGTGCAGCAGCACCCCAACTCTGGCACATGGATATGCAGTGCCTAGTGGGTGCCTACCTACATGCCAACTTTGAGCGTAATCGGCCAAGTAGTTATCGAGATATTGCAACAATTACAAAACTGACACCTCTTCGTTTTGCACGTGGCACGTGCATAAGGGGTCACCCACATGCATCGGGAATAGTCCAATACTTGGTAGAAGGAATGAAGCTACCCTACAAAAATTACCGCGTGTAAATCGGTCTTCTTTGCTGCAGAGCGCTGCTTTGATGTCAACTGACAACGGTTCTGTTTGTGGTGTTGTTTCAGCATGAACAGCCTGAGTCTGAGTTTCGACACGAACGATTCTCGGCCAGTATCCGGAGTTCGTCTTCTACCACTCACCACTGGCCGGTGTTCGTTCGGAAAGAACGGCAACTCGCCGCGGCAGGAGTCGATCGAGAACGTCACCTTCCCGGCACTGTCAGGTTAGTCAGCGAGTCACTGTCATATGTCAGACACTGTCAGGTGAGTCAGCAAGTCACTGTCATATGTCAGACACTGTCAGGTGAGTCAGCGAGTCACTGTCACATGTCAGACACTGTCAGGTGAGTCAGCGAGTCACTGTCACATGTCAGACACTGTTAGGTGAGTCAGCGAGTCACTGTCATATGTCAGACACTGTCAGGTGAGTCAGCGAGTCACTGTCATATGTCAGACACTGTCAGGTGAGTCAGCGAGTCACTGTCATATGTCAGACACTGTCAGGTGAGTCAGCGAGTCACTGTCATATGTCAGACACTGTCAGGTGAGTCAGCGAGTCACTGTCATATGTCAGACACTGTCAGGTGAGTCAGCGAGTCACTGTCATATGTCAGACACTGTCAGGTGAGTCACTGTGTCACTGTCACATGTCAGACACTGTTAGGTGAGTCATCGAGTCACTGACATATGTCAGACACTGTCAGGTGAGTCAGCGAGTCACTGTCATATGTCAGACACTGTCAGGTCAGTCACTGTGTCACTGTCATATGTCAGACACTGTCAGGTGAGTCAGCGAGTCACTGACAATGTCAGACACTGTCAGGTGAGTCAGCGAGTCACTGACATATGTCAGACACTGTCAGGCTAGTTACCGAGTCACTGGCATATGCCAGACACTGTCAGGGTAGTCATCAAGTCACGCCATCAGTCCGACACTGTCAGATATTTCCTGACATGTTTCTAAGGATGTCATTTATTTACATTCAGGACTCGCAGTGTCCATCGTAAGAATAATGACGTTATGTATGTGCGTTGGGCACATACCCTTGCATATAATACGTGACCCACAGCGCACAGCCAGTTTTTACTTCTTACAAATTCTGCTTACGCTGGTAGCTAATTAGCTTCTAGCTGAAAGCTCAGTTACATAAAGAGTGCTTTTTTTGTAAAGTAACTGCTCTCGGACAAATTGACGTAGCGCTCTCTATACCGTACTAGCCACTAATGCTGTTATTTTATGGTGCCCATAAACTACCACCCCCTCAAGTATCGTAAGAAGTTCGGAAGGAATGAAGGCAATGTGACATTTTGTTAGCACATCGATGCGCTAGCCACTAAGTCACTGACGACTGAATATGTCATGCCAAATTAACCCGCGCCCCGCTGGGCTATTCAGCCATACGCGCCCTGCTGGGGGGGGGGGGGGCAGCTTCTGCCCCCCTGTCTAACTTCCGAACCGATGGTCGTAGAAAGACGGGGAAAACGGCAATCGAAAGTTCTTAACAAGATGGATCTTAAGAGCCCAAAGTTTTTTGCTTAAGTAGGTCAGAGGTCAGGTCAAGGTCAGGTCAAGGGTACAAAATGCAAGTTTCTACAGTATCGGCCTTACACCGTTGTTGCCCAAGAATGGACTGAGACTGATTGCCCAAAACGTGTTCTTAGACTACCAAGACAATATTCGTTGCATACAATGTCATTCAAAGGTCAAAGTCAAGGTCAGGTCAGGTCAGGTCAGGTCACCAAAAACAAAATATAGAAAAGGGCATGTGCGACACATGTTTTATGGGTCATTTTACTCATAGAATTCAATCGGCGCACTCAATAAGTGATATGGACCATCTCTGGATGAATTTCAGGTCGAGGTCAGGTCAAGGTCAGGTCAAGTAAGGTCAAATTTTGGAGTTGGTTGTTAAGGCCTAAAATGGTGTCTATCTGATGCAGTTTTTCACGGCGAATCGAATGGTGCTATTTTTGTTTCCGTACAAGGTCTAGAACTTAAAAAAAATCTTTTTTCAAAATTTTTGTATGTCGTGACGTCATAAAATTTTGAATAACTCCCACATTTTTGAACCGATTCTTCTAAAAATTGGTATGTAGGTGCACATAGACCACTTCTCTGACATACATTCCGGTTTTTTTCGATACACTCAAAGTTTTGGATTTTATAATTATTTTCCCAAAAAAGTCGGTTTTTTGAAAAAAATTTGGGCCAAAATCCAACATTTTCAAAAAACCGAGATAGCAATTTGATAGACAAGTAGAATCACGTATAACCTTTTTTGTTACGTCTTGATTCCTTTAAAAATGAAGATGTTAGCGTCGTTTGAAATTTTGCCGTTTTTGAGGCGAAAATGGCGAACGTGACGTCACTAAAACGTCAATTTCTCAAAAATTTTCCGACGGATTTCGCTCAAATTTTCAGGGAATTTGTCACTTTGATGTATGATAAGGTACTGAAAGTTTGACGTTGCTGGCGTAACGCGTTTAGAAGGTATTGGCGAAAAACGGGAGGGGGGCAGATTCTGCCCCCCCCCCCCAGCGGGGCGCGGGTTAATGTTTGTTGTGATGACCGATAAGGCACGCCGTGTGCCAGTCTGTCATTAAATATTTAGTCCGTTGTTTTATTTTCATGACAGAGTGCGGGAGCATAAGTATATATTTGGTGCAGTTAGGGGCGGATCAGGAGACCATGGCAATATTCCAACACCATTTATTACAGGGACACACCACAGCACAGCTTATTAGCCAACAGAACCTAATCAGTGCCGACCGTAACCCACAATCCACCAGCCAGTGGTTTCAGACGCCAGAAAAGCAATCCCACGGCAACTGCTTTCGGCATCTATTTGGGCAGTCGATTTAATCAGCCGAGAACTAATGTTTGTCTGTGTAGGTACCCGAAAGTGCATGCATAATCCAATTAGCTGACCTGTCCTCCGTGATTTACGCAGAACCACTGTTTAAATGTCAGCAATGTTTGCAATTCCAATGCTCTCTGGATTATTGCTGGTTTCAGAACTTCAATAACACAGTGAAAGTTTACCTTTTACGGCCGACTCTTTTCTTGAAACTTAACTAGAAGGTCACCGATCAAAATTTAACTAGAAGCCCACCAACGTCTGTCATTAATGGAAAAGGACGGCGAGTTTTACAGAGAGCACCTGCAGCACACGTCACGTGCTTTAAGTGTTGCGCTCGGGTGTGGAGGGTGTACCCACCCTGGGTGTAATTACACGGCCCGGTGTCAGTGCGGTGCCCGGGTGTGGAGGGTGCACCCACCCTGGGTGTAATTACACGGTAATATGGTGTCAGTGTGGTGCCCAAGTGTGGATGTGTACCCACCTTATGTGTAGTTGCGTGGCACGTGCGGTGACTGACCTATGTAGAGGCGCTAAATTACCATGGCGATGAGAGCCAACATCGGGCGGCCACCACTCGGGCTGGTCGCCGCCAACTCTGAATTCTGAACATTCTCAAACCCGTAGCGGTAGAAGTCACGCGTAATGTGATTCATGTGGCGTTAGGTTATTCTTTTTTAATGTTCCAAATCTAGCCAACCATTTTACATTGAAGTTAGCAGCTTATTGCCGCATCATAGTCGTAGATCATCGCTGAGTTTGACCTATAGCTTACAGAAATAACCGTAACCAGTGACCCTGACTGGTCCGCCGCGGTAACTGCGAATGTGACAGGGAGTGTGCACTGTGCAGTACACAGCACGGTCTGCAATCACGGAACGGGCGGCGCCATGGGGTGCAGTATGTGGGACTCTATTGATCCCGAGGGGAGGGGGCACACGACGGCGGTCAGCGGTCACATGATGCATGGCGCATGTGGGTATACACCGCACCCAGTGGGCGCCCGAGCCAGGGGTGGTCAGACGGAGCGGACTGGCCAGACTCAGTCGGACTGGGAATCGAACTAGACTTGGTCAGACTACGTGTATGTAAGTGAACGAACCAAATCTGTCAGATTAGATGAACGAACCAGACTCGATTAGAAGCTGGGCTCACCAAGCAGACTGTCAGACTGGGGGATCCACCCGTACTGTCAAACAAGGCAAACAAACCGTAGATGTCAGACCGCTGACTGTCAGACGAAGCGAACGAACCAGATTCGGACAGACTGGGCGCCCGAATCAGATTCGATCAGACTGCGGAGCCAGACTGATTCGGTCCGACCGGCATCTGCGGTTGTTTGGCGTCATCACTGCGTAAAACGTTTAATTATTTATCTTTTGGGAAATCTCGCTTTGGCTTGGATGCTGCTTAACTCGATGAGTGAATATCCTATTTTTCTTATCAACGGAAAATGTCACTTCGATTCGATATAAAAAAGCAATAAAGGCTTCTGCCTTTTTTCGCCGAAGATTTGTATCAGTGAGTGCCTTCTAGGCTTCTAGTGCAGAATGCAATGCATCCCAACATCCCTATCGGGTGTTCACTGTTCACAGATGCTGGCAGCAAGGGCAATTACCACCTGCCGGCCCTGACTGCGCACGACCGGGTCAGCCGGCGTCAGTTTAGGGCGGCCTCCCTCGACAAACGTGAGTAACCCCGCCAGCGACTCTCTCGTCAAAGGCCTCCCTCGGCAAACCATAATAACCCCGACGAGAGGGTTATTTGACTGCTAATGACTTCGGTGAACGGTCAACAACTCCGATGGTCGAGTCTTGTCAAACAGAACGCCGTAAACGGACTCATAGCTGATTTAAGCTTGTTCTGGTGTCCCTAATATGAAGTACGTGTAGTTCGACCGAACCACGAACGTTTCGATCGATGTTCGGCCTTGTTCAGTGTTAAAACTGTTCATGTACGATAATTCTTCTAATCTCAACTTCCCAGAATAAATCGACTGTTTGACGCTGACTTCATGGTGTGCCCCGGGGCTCAGTGCTGGCTGTCGCGTGTCTCCTAATGCGGTGTAATCCTGTCGTGATTGTACCATCCTTCAGGTAACGTTCGTTCACCGCGGCGGCACGCGGCACCCTGTGAGGTGACTCCCTCCGTCCCCTCCCTCCCCCAGTACCGGAGGAGGGTGAGGAGATGCTAGCCGCGGCGCTCTCCAGCCGTAACGCGCACAGCGGGCCGCGGGAGCGCACCCGGCACCCAGTGGAGTGCGTGCCGCGGCCGGGGGTGGGCCACCCGCTGCCGGAGCTGGGCTCGGCGCCGCGGCCGGCCGACGTGCAGCCTCTCAGCGTACAGCGGCAGATCGTGGAGGCGCTGCGGCCGACCGGCGAGCGGGCCGCGCGGCCGCCGCCGCCGCCCTCGGCCGGTCACCTACTACAGCTGGTGCTCTCCCAGCCGGAGGACGCCGGAGACCTGCACCTCAGCGACCTGGAGAGCAGCCAGAGGATGACCAGCGGGCCGAGCACCGCGGCGCCCTCCTCCGCCGCCTCCGCCACCGTCACACCGGCCGACAGCGAGCCGGAGGCCGAGTCCGCGGACGACTTCGGCTGGTCGCTGTTCAGAAAGAAACGCGGCATCCCGGCCACCACGCGGCCGGCGGCGGGTCGCGCGGCGGACCGAAAACCCGACCGGCCGCGGCTCGGCGTGGCTGACGACGCGTTCACCAGCGATCCGACGGCTGTTTCGGCGGCCTCCGGGCCGAGCGGCGGAGGTGACGCGATGGCGCGGCTGCACCCGGACGCGGCGCCTCTGCGGCGGCCGGTGGTGGCCCGCCGCGGCCGCAGCAGCTCGCCGCGAGCTCCGGCCGAGCCGCCCGAGGTGGCTGAGTACGCCGAGAGTCGGCCGGGCAGCGCGGTCAGTGGGACCGGGCCGGAGGAGGAGGAGCGGCCGCGCTCCCAGGAGCAGCAGATCCTGGCACTGCTGGCGCGGCTCACAGAGATGGCTGATAATGGTGAGTGACGAGAGAGAGAGAGAGAGAGAGAGAGAGAGAGAGAGAGAGAGAGAGAGAGAGAGAGAGAGAGAGAGAGAGAGAGAGAGAGGGAGAGAGAGAGAGAGGGGGAGAGGGGGCTGAGTGCTGAGCGACGATTACAATGAATGCTAAGGGAGGATAACGGGAAAGGTTTTGGAAGGATAGCGATGAAGGTTTTAGGAGAATGACGGCGAACGCTTAGGGTGCCTGAATACCGATGAGTGACTAGGTAGGATTATTAGCTCAGTTCTCACGAACCATTTAGCTTTGTATGCATTGGGCTGTGTGCACGACAGCCCTGGTATTCAGGGCCACGCCATTTCGAGTTACAGGCGTAAGTTGAACGCCAAACTGACGGATCGAGCCACAGACTTTTAGAGAAGTCTGTGACTTGCAAATGACTCAGATGCCTGTTATAATCCTAGGCTGGGGGGATCCAGAGCGTCGTAAGCCTCGTCGTAGCTGCGACGTGTCGCAAGTTGTGTAGTAAGTCGTTTTTGAAGGGATCAATCGATGAGTAGCGTTACTTAAGTAGTAAAGTCTATCGCAAATAGCCTGATTTGCGACACAACTTACGAATTTGAAATAGCAGTCGTAAGTTGTGTCGCAAGTTGACCTTGCCTTGAGGAAGAGGTCACAGGTCACAGGTCATTCGGGTCATGGTCACGAAATTTACATGGTAGGTGTAAAATTGTTTAAACTTTAGATCCTGAAAATTTGGTTGCAATCCGTTGACGCTAACGCGAGTTATAGAGATTGAACTGACGGGTCGTCTATGAGTCCTCAATCCGTGCCAGCGAGAGTGTTAAAAATGGTGCATAATATGTTATATTCACATTTATTGGGGTATTCGGGGATATGAAGTAGCCTAACACCATTCCAGCAACTACTGGCGAATCCAGAAAGGCGGTCTTGGACGTTGCAAGGGGCATCCCCCAAAATATTCTCCCAATTCCAAAAACGACGTGTCCCAGCTGACCCCGATGACCTCCAATGAGCTCTGTGATGACCCCAAGTTGACCTTTTTGACCTGACCTGTCCCAGATGACCTCCGTGACATCCTTTTGAGCTCTCTGATGACTTCAAGCTGACCTCTGTGACCTGACGTGTCCCAGATGACCCCCATGACCTCCAATAGAGCTATGTGATGACCCCAACATGACCTTTATTACCTGACGTGTCCCAGATGACCTCCGTGACATCCAATTGAGCTCTCTGATGACTCCAAGCTGACCTCTGTGACCTGACGTGTCCCAGATGACCTCCATTTGAGCTCTGTGATGACCCCAACTTAACCTCTGTGACCTGGCGTGTCCCATATGACCTCTGTAACCTCTAAGTGACCTCTATGATGACCCCAAGCTAACCTCTGTGACCTGTCCCAGATGACCCTCATGACCTCCAATAGAGCTCTGTGATGACCCCAAGTTGACCTCTGTTACCTGACGTGTCCCAGATGACCTCCGTGACCTCCAATTGAGCTCTCTAATGACTCCAAGCTGACCTCTGTGACCTGACGTGTCCCAGGTGACCTCCAATTGAGCTCTCTGATGACCTTTAGTTGACCTCTGTGACCTGACGTGTCCCATATGACCTCTGTGACCTCTAAGTGACCTCTCTGATGGCACCAAGCTGACCTTTGTGACCTGACGTGTCCCAGATCGCCCCAATGACCTTCAATTGAGCTCTGTGATGACCCCAAGCTGACCTCTGTGACTTGATGTGTCCAAGATGACCTCCGTGACCTCCAGTTGAGCTCTGTGATGACCCTAGGTTGACCTCTGTGACCTGACGTGCCCCCAAGTTGCCGTCTGTGACCTGGCGTGTCTCAGATTACCTCCGTGGTCTCCAATTGAGCTCTTTGATGACCCCAAGTTGACCTCTGTGACCTGACGTGTCCCAGATGACCTCTGTAACCTCCAATTGTGACCTCCATCTACAAATTTCTTACCTCTCTGTGACATCAAACTCTCGGAACTCATTTCTTCTAAAGCATCGATTCTAGATGCCCTATAGCCACGAATCTCCTGTGATCGATCCCAAATTTTATGGCAAATCACGTGAGCGTTAGCAACCACAAGTCACCCAGTTAATACAAAGCTTCAGAATCAGAGAACATGCTTGACCTTGCTGTCTCATAAGCTCGCAAACCAGAAAGGCGAATGTTCCTTTATGCGTGATAGAGTTTTCGACCTTACTGACGTTTACTACGGGATCAGCTGATCGTGTAGCCTTTTAAATTCTCGAGTAAAGCGGGTATTTAAGCCTCGTCGCAGCTACGTTCTGTCGTATCCTCCGACAAACCCCTCTTTCCTCAACATCCCTCCTTTTCCGCTACGACACAACTTGCGACGGCATATGTGTCGTAACTTGCGACGTGTCGTAGATGGACTTGCGACGCCCTGGATCCCCCCGGCCCTAAGTCTTACAAAACAGCTCTGCTACCTCCCAGCGATGAAAATCTAGTGCCATAGTGGATATCAACCTTTCAGATAATATTCTCATAACGTAATTAAACACGAAAGCCGCTCGTGCGCGGGCTAAGCTGACAAGAATGGCATTCCGTCATCGCTTGCCATCGCGAGTAATGCGGCTGTCTGCTGTGCAAAGACGATTACTTAGTGAATAAAGGTCAAACTACGGCTTCAGGGCGGTGACATTAATTCCATTATTGACCATATCCAACTGCTCAACAGGATGGGGTACCATCGCAATGAGCCATTCCGATCGATTCATTTACCACCCACACTCAACTAATCTCCCTATGTTAACTCCATCACCATGGTTTTTACATGCAATGTTTTCAGCCATGGCCTTTGTCATTTCATGTAGGTACCTTCTTCATATGCCTGCATGTTCACAAAACAGAGCGGTGTCTGGTGATAATGCGTTCAGTCCATTGAAGCGAAACATCAATGCTGTTTTTTATGCCACCAAACACCGACAATGGGGTTCATTGTCAGGCGGGACATGGCCTTTCTCTCCGGAGTGTCGCCGCTCTGGGAAGCTCTGTTCACGCCGACAGGTGGGCTGTCTTCGGAGGTGTATGTAAATACAGTCGAGCAGGAGGTGGTTACAGACATGTAGTTATGTCAGTCTGCGACTGCTGAGCTACTACATATGTCGGCAGTTGCCAAGGCGTGTGTTATGAGATGATTGGTATCAAAGTATTTGATGGTGAACTGACCTCTAGGTAATGCTCTTCCTGTACATTTCAGTTTAGGTGAACTTTCCTGGGTCCGTTGACCGTTAGGTATGTAGACCACCAATTACCTCCTAAACCAAACTCTACACCAAGAGTTGCTTTCAAAGTCTCATCAATATGATAACCAATCAATGGCCAAAACTTGCCCCATGACAGGAAACTGACATGTTGCTAATGGCGTGTCAACGCTGCTAAAGGCACAGACACGTATTTTGATACTCTGGCGACACTGATAAATGCACCTGTGGCATAGGACAACAGGGAGGCTTCCATCGTTCACGGACCGTGAATTTACACGGTCCTGACAGCATTGTTCGCCGTTTCACTAGCTAATGGCTAACTGTTGAGTGTTGATGGTCTTAGTCTAACACTTAAAGTCGCAGCTCACTGACGAGAAAGTCGGCCATTTAGCGGCCAAACAGGTCGTATGCTAGACTATCTGGGTATTGTGGCCTTGTGGTAAATTATATAGAAGCATGGAGACGTGTTTGAAGTGCTTACGGTGAAAAGGCGAAATGTCCGCTCACGAACATTGTTCTGTACCTAATCAGTAGGAGCTCTGCTTCTGATTAAGGACTTGTCTTAGCGGGTATTATGATAAGTATTTATCAAAAGGCTCAAACTGTCACAAGAACACATGAAAAATTTGGCTGCAGTGATCTTTCCAAAGCAATAACCTTCTATTGCCTTGCAATAACCCACCTTTATTGAATTAACGCATTCTGATAACTAGCGAGTCAGGCAGACGGTCTGTCTAGGTGTATAGACTGTTCCGCAAGACAGCTCCGTACGGCGGCACAGCATACCCAAGCAGTGTGCTCCGAGGGCCATGCCACGTATTTTTCACAGTTGTTCAGCGTTCACGTCGTCTTGCTTCTCTGCTGTCTTCTGCTCTCTGGGCGCGACCAGTGACGCAGAAACCTACAAGACATGACCAATGTAGCAGAGATTCACGAGACATGACCTGTGATGAGAGACGCAGTAGCGCACGAGACATGACCAAGAATGAAGAAAGATCCGCGAGACCCGTCCAGTGACGCAGAGACGCCGTCAGCGACCGGTGTAGAGATGCTGACGTCACGATATTTAGGTTCGATTTAACATCAATATCTAGACAGCGGAAGCAAATGGATGCAAGGAGGAGTGGCCCTTACATGACTCGCTTGGATGGGGTCGGGGATCTGTGATGGGATTTGGGAATTCCAAGGCTTCGCACTTCGCAGTGGACCTGGATAAAAAATATGGACGCTTCACGCTACCGAGGCAATTTCATAAGCTTTTGCTAAATCAACATTGTCACAACTTCACAATGTGTTGGTAACTGCTGCCTACGAACATGCAGATGATGAATTTCTTTCCATCGCCTCTCCCTCTGCCCAGGAGCGGATAACGCTGAGGTGCTGACATCTGTTGTTGACCTGTATCAACTGCTGGCTGACACGAACCACCTGGGTCGAGGCTCCCAGCACCGGATTGCCACTCTGAAGACGATATTCCGCTTTGTGGACCGTCAGCACCCGCGGCTTTTGATGCAAATTTCTCGAACCATTCTAGCGGTAAGTGGCGGGCAGGGGTTCGGACGGGCGGGTGCGGTGAATTTTATGTATACCAGGGGAACCAGTCTGGGTGAGGGGCAGTGGTAGGAGGTCTGCTAGCGACAGTGCACTTTCCTGTACCCTTAGGAGTATCTCCAAAATCAAAGGTCATTGACCGCGTTCTTGGGAACGCTTAACATGACGAGATGCTTTTACTCTGGAATGCATTAATGTAGTGCAACGGCTTTGTACTGATGCTAAAAGCCCTAACCTGACCATAATTCTTGGCGCTTTCAGTTGCAAGTGAGTGGGAAAAACCTGACCAGTGTATGCAAATTGGTCTTCAAAGTCGCCCAGGACGATGAAAATGACGCTCTGTTTCTGGAGGGCAACTTTCTCGGTAAGTTTGAGCTACACCCGGCAGGTGAGCTGACATAGGCACTCGCTGCTTCCACAGATAATGCTTTTGTCCGTATTCTCTAAAAAATTTCCACAACTTTGATGTGACCAATCTATATTAGTAAAGCCAATTACTATGACACCAAAGCTGACAACTATTTTCATATCGGCTCTGTCCAACGGAGACTATATGAAAACAGACGATACCACCCGTGTAGAAAAGCCAGCCTATATGAGCTGTCCTTCTTTCACTATATAGCAAGTCACTATAAAGAATGACAAACAGTGACGGAGACGCCAGGAAACCTCAGGTGCCCTTAATTACTGGAAACTTTTGCCACACTTCAGGAACGTCTTAGCTTGATTAACGTTATTTTTTTTTGCAATTAGTGAAACCAACAAAGTTTTTTTTTCGAAATCCATAATGATATGGACGCAGCTATTTTCTCTCGAGTAAATGTTTACGAGTGCACATGAATCGTTCACTACTAATTAGTATAGCATGGGACCCGGCCGCATGGATCAATGATCGACCATATATCACCTGATCAGTCGAACCCGAGCCCTAGGGGAGCCCAGTGGGCTGGAGTGGCTCCTGGTGACACAGCACAGTTGATTGTCATGGGTCAGTCCGCTCAGGCTGGTAGTAATTGCGTGTCTGCTAAGGCCAAGGGTCACTGGGTCCATACCCAGTTTAACTAGTCTAACTAGTTACTGCCCAGTCATGGATTATCGTTAGTTAGCACGGAATGCGTGGTTCCTGTGCCTGGCGACCTGCCCGTGCTGTGCCTAACTCCGTTTGGCCCGCGCGTCGCCACTAGAACTGCTACTGGAGATTATCGGACGCAGCAGCCCCCTGGACGACGGAGAAGCGTGTGTCTACAGTTACGGCGCGCTCAAGTTTCTGACGATGAATCCGGCGCTGGTAACGCGACTCATGAGTCTGGGCATCCTAGACCTGGTGGTGCTGCATCTGAAACTCATCACCACAAAGGTACGGCACCACAGCCGGTCAAATTCACAATCACAATCACAATGAGAAACTTTCCCTAGTGCACTTGAGGCCATTCATGCAGTTTCAATTCGTCTCGCTTTCTGCATTATGAGGGTGGTGATACTAGAAGCGAGGCTGGAAGCTGGGATCGCAGATGCGCTGTTGAGGGAGTTCATCATAACGCCTAACCTTTTTGTAATGCTAGAATCGGTCTAACTAGACGTCTGTGCAACAGAGGATATGATTATCACCTAGCTATGATAGACTGAACTAGCTACACATCCCTCCTGATTTCTCCCCTCTCCACCTCAGAAGCTGGAGAGTAAGCGCGTCTCGGAGCAGACCGGTCACGCGCTGTACCAGCTGACCGGGGTGCTGCGAAACCTGGCCAATGTGGACTCGACTCTGCCGCGGCTGGTGAGCTCCGGCGCCACGGCGCAGATCTCCGGCGTGCTGGCCCTCTTCAGCGCCGACATGGACGTCATCTCCAACGTGGCCAGAATCCTCAGGTGAGGATGGTGGGCGGTGGCAGAGGTCAGGGTTCTCAGGCGAGGATGGTGGCAGAGGTCAGGGTTCTCAGGTGAGGATGGTGGCAGGGGTCAGGGTTCTCAGGTAGGAATGGTGGATCCTCAGGTAGATCAGGTGGATCAGATGAATGGTCATGATCCTCAGGTAGATTGTTAGTCGAGGCCAGTATCCTCACTCTTCAAGTGGTGGCCGAGGTGAGAATCTGGTGAGGTTAGGGTGTGGTTCATTGGCTCCTCAAGTGAGGCTGGCAAGGTTTTGTGAACGAAGTGGTGGCCGGCGTGGGAGGCTGGCCGCTGGAGGTGCCTTGTGTGGACCTCTGAACAGTGTGAGAGGTGTGGACTGTGGATTTTGGGTTGTGGAGTGGTGGCGCTGGCCGCCGAGTCTATTGGCAGATGTGGGTGGAACGCCAGGTATTTGCGGAACCACTGGTCCATGAGGTAGACGACGTAATCAGTTATATCATTTCCTTGCGAAACGAAAACTGCACATTTAGCTTGTGACTGTGACGTAACTTAGTTCCACCTGTAATTAACCTGCACCTAATTAGTTTCTTTTGACTCCTGGTACCCTGACGCTGTGAAGAATGTCGCCGAGTGCGATAAACACACTCAAACACCCACCCACCCCCACACATGCCTACCATGTGATATTGAGCGGTCTTCGTCGCCAAGGTCGCAGCCGTCGGCACGCGTGTGAACCACGTGCCCCTGGGGCGGCTCGACAGGTTCAGCCGGCTCCTTTGGAGAGCTCCCCGCCGCCGACTGCCGGGTGACCTTTCACGATATCGTCCGTATGGGGTCATTTGAGCACAGAACATCCGTGGAAGCGGAACAGAACCAACCAGCCCGATTGCACAAAGTCATACAGGCATTTAATATTAGCTTATGTCAGCTTATGCGTTGCATGATGAGTCTCGACACCGGAGTCGAGACTTTTCGCGCTATTTTGATATCCTACTTGTTTTGCTATTGTGGGTTCTGCATGGAACTGAGGCAAAAGATGTTCGATGGAACTTCTTTACGCCTACATCACAGGGCAGTGAAAAACATCCATAGCCTGTGTGTCTGGTACAGTTCTTAGCCAAATTAAAACGGATCACGACTGGAATCCAATCAGCTAGAATGCTTCACATAAACATGTTTTCGGCGAAACACCCGCAGCTATGATCTATTCGTGGCGTTCCGATCAGTTTATCACTATCGGTGATTGGTTGAACGCCCACCTGATATTGTCGGCGATAGTAGTGTGGCTATCGGGTGCGTCCGTGCCGCTGTAACAGTCGTTTATGGCGTGTCAACATTCATACGCCTTCAACTTGACCCATTCTGGCCAATAAGGAGCATCGGCGCTGGACGGGGTATATTTTAGGTCGGACCATTTTAGTCAGGTCGCTGCCTAAATCGATGGTCACCAAGCACGCGCCAGTCCTGCAGTCACGCCCCTGCTATGGGTGTTTATTATTCACGTGATGGGTTTGCACACGCTCAATATTTACACGATACGGAGTCGGGTATTTATGCCGGCGAACCTGACATGGATTTAATTGCGTTAGATCGCCCACTGTTTTTCTTTCACTGAACATCATTTTCGCCGTGTTTTATCAATTGCAAACATCTGAATATGAAAATATCGTTTCTTTCAATTGGTCAGCGACTCGTATTTCGTCATTGCTGGGTTCCAAACGAGAAAGATGCGAACATAACTTACCTCACCCCACGTTACCGACCTTGAGAAGTTGATTTATGCCATGGCCACCCACCTTCTAGCTCAACCCGGTGACTACTCCCTCCCCGCTTCCTACCCTCTCATTCCACCCACCCCTCAGATCGGGTAGGATTTACACTTCGGCCATCCCCAAACGACCCCGCGGCGTTCCCGGCCCGCTCCGGCGCTCGGCGGCCGCGGAGCCGCCCGTTGCGATGGCGATGGCAGTGTTTCGGTCTGTCGGTCGGGCCGGCAGCTCGATAGCCCACCGACACGGCTCCAACTGTAGGCCGCTGCCGCTCCGTGCACGTCGCAGCCGTACGAGGAGTGGCACAAGTACGACACTGCGTGGTATACATCATTTGTACTCGTGGCTTAGCTGGGACCCTACAGAGAGGGGTGGTTACGTACAGCGGTGTGCGAGAAATCCAACACCAATTGCTCGTAAGAATTGCTCTGTTGTAAAATACCTTATTTCTATTCGTTGACTTTCGATCCTTTACAATATTACACATGCGTGCTCAATGTTCATACTGTAGATATAAATAAATCATCGTCCACAGGGCCGATATCATCGTCCCAGTGCAACTTTCTCTATATCCCATGGGACACCAGCCATTCCTCCGTCCATTCAATCCATTCCTCCGTCTCAATGGCAGGCCCACCGGTCCATCCGTCGACATCCGCCATCCGTCACCTATCATCTGTCATCTGTCATCTGCCATCCGCCACCCGTTCTTCCATCCCTTCAGGGTTCCACTCGCGGCAGCACTTACGGGCGATAGTTTCTCATTCAGACACTAGATGGCAGCAGTAGTGTGCGCCTGGAAGTGTAGGCTGTACCGCACTACTTGATCCTCCCGACTAACACCAAGCGGGATAGAGGGAGGGTGGAAATGTGGGGCTAAGCTTCGAAATAATCCAATTAATTGATAAATGCTGGCATGATTATGAACTCTGCAGTCTACATGGAAAGTTTTTGCACTCGTATGATTGAATGCGTTGTTTGCACGACGCTGCACTGCTCTTCACAACGCGGTACAGCCAGTGCAAAGTGCAAACCGATCCAGGTTAGACACAAACTGGCTGCTTAGCTGCTTATGAATTGTAGCCATCGGTTATGGCATGCCCCGTTGTCAGTTTGTCCTGGATTATTCCCAAATCTCAATGCGTTCTGTGCTCATATTTTTGGACGGTTGCATGCGATGGCACTACTGGCCGTTATGCGTTTATTGCGTCGTGCATAGATCCATCCATCATCTGGTTTGTTAAATGGCCATCGCCTCGGCACTGCCATTGGATTGAGGTCCTGGAATAGGGTCAGACCATTTTCTAACATCGCGTGCCACATTTACGCAGCTTATTCTGATTTGTGGGCACCGTTCGCGGCACTCGACGGTAGGCATCGTGCTTATTGTGACTTAGACCTCGTACGGCCGTGTCCCATTTTCGTAATGTGGACAGCCGATGGGGACAGAGGGAAGAGCTGACGCAATGTCCTGGTGATGAGCTTCTATGAAACTAAAAAAAATACAGCAACGAAGTTGCTGGACAATGGTAGTCTCTGTTTTACCCATATTGCCAAATTGGCGACTCTAGATAAATACAAGAGTTCTTTGGAGATCAAAAATTAAATCAAATACAACGTCAACAACTGTTTTGCATAAGTTAGTAGTTTTAATAAATAACGTCTTTTTTCATCCAGTACGCCACGGTACATTCACAGACTGTTTGTCGGTGACCTACCCTGCTTTGACACACTACGACCACCAGTCCACCACGCCCTGGCGTGTCCTGGTGACAGTAAAGCCACATGAAACTACCTCCGGTGCCATGCCAGCGGTCCGACCGTTCCAAACTGCGCCACATTCGTGAGTGTCGTGACGGTGCCACTGCCCTGATTGACCGACCGGCCGGCGCGGTGGTGTGGTGTGCGGCGAGTGAATGTGGCGCAGCACATTAGACACTCAGCTAGGTGTCGTCTGCGGAACACATAGTGCATGATCCGTATGAATATCACCTTGGATGAATAGCAATATTACCAATAATCGGGTCAACTCCATTACAGACATTCGAGCTGGTCGATTGGTTGTGGGGAAAGCACTGCTAAACGGTCGTTTCCAATCACTCAACCTGAAATCACTGACTCTTGGCTAGATGCTCAATGCTAACTTCCAGACATCTCTGTAGAATTTAAGCCACACCGATTTTCACTCTGCCAAGCATCCCATGCAGATAGCTCAAATGTCCTCTGTAAAGACTCTCGCAGAAATTTCAGCAGAAATTGACCTAGCATCTCCTGCAGACAGTATAATTACCTACATTCTATTAAGTATACATACAAGCATTTGGCCAAACATTGCCGCTGTCGGCTGTACATAGACCAGGCAAACGGATTTGGAGCAGGGTATTCTCTCCGAGCCTCTAAGAAATCTAGAACGCGAACAACGAACAGTGCCATTTGCAGGGAGGGAGCAGAACATTCATGATTGCTTGACTATGTGTGGTACTGGACTACGTCCGGTAAAAGTTGTGTGATTTACGAGCCATTTATAACTCTGTCAGGGTGGCTTCCGTATCACTAAAGGCATCTTGATTTATCAGATAGTTGTGGCTATTATGAGACACCGTGAAATTTCTCGATCTGGCTATTTCAGTCCTGAGTCATAATTGCCATGCCACCAGCTTTTGCATTTTGTAAGAGCTTCTAGGAAATGTTGTTGCAGACTTTAGCTAGCCGGTAAATAGTTTATGCCATCGTTGCGTTGATTGCACATAGCGACGTTAGCAACATACCGCCAAATGAAATGCTTAGTTCTTTGCCCGAATCTCTAACACGTTTCTTGTGCCTGTAAGGTATGCGAGAACATCTTTGACGTTCAGCATTGGTCGAACGGGTCCAATGGAAGCTTACGAACTTGTAGTCTGCACCATAACATATAATTGACGCTTTACTGAGACGACCAGCATAACGTTGCTATACTAATCCACTGGTATGCCCGTTTGCCTATTTGACAGCATTATTTCCACACACGACGAATGCTGCGAGCAGCTGGTGGAGAGTGACCTCAGCTTCCGGGCCTGCATCAAGGTGCTGAAGAAGTACCCCGGTGCCAACAACATCGTGGTGCGGATGGGCTACGCGCTCGGCAACCTCATGGCCCGGTCCGAGTCGGCTAGAGTCAAGGTGAGTCGCACCAGGAGTCGCTATATGACTCGGGGCGCACCGCTACCGCGCTCAGTGCCCAAAGAGGCTCGCTGTCGGCTCGGCTGCATCTGAAGGCTTTAATTCTTGCGGAAAGTGGTTATGGCGGACCGAGTTGCGGATTCTGTGTTCTGGAATGCAAAAACGGGATACCCAGTTGTGTGTGATGCGTGCCATTTTTACAATTCAGTAAACTGGTGGTGTTTCCACGAAAAGTCATGACATTTCAGCGAACCTGCGGACTGCCACGAAGTGACATTTCGCAGTTATCACGTCATCGTTGCAGCATAATGCAAAATTTACCGACGCTAGATAGGACGCTGTGGGTGCCTTTCATGTGGTGTAAATGAAGTATGAACCCAGGCGTTTCCAGCAGAGCGCTTGGGTGGAATAAAGGCCAGCGTGGTCTGAAAGTGCTGCTGTTTTGAAACTCGCAGCTGATTGGAGCCAACTCCTGTTCGGAGGAGCAATACCCCATACCTGCTCGCATTGGATAACGATTATGGTAGCGAATCCGGACGACATGTGTTGATCGATGGCGACTGGCCTTGCCGTCTTGCAACGCGCACTAGACGGGTCAAACGGCCCCGACAAGCCAATACCGATTCTGCGGTAGGGTCGTGCAGGCATGAACTACGATATTCTATGGAAAATCGATCGACCTTGCGGAGCCGCAGCAGCTTAATGTTCTAGATCAAATACCGACAAGTAGTCCACGGGTTTATGCATTACGCAGGTGTTGGTGCAGGATGAGTGACACTGTTTCAATGTTTATGCATACTCGTTTGTTCATTGATCGACTAGTGCGCAGTTGTGGAAGTTTATACCAAAGTGACGCTTACGTCGTGACGTTTCAGTTCTTCAGGGAGCCGGAAGCGCTGGAAACCCTGCTGAACCTGCTGGATATGTACTCCCGACGGACGGCCAGCAGCAGCAACAACAACGGCACAGCCAGCTCGGAGGCGGGGGAGGCCGGCGACTCGGCCGCCAACGACCCCGGCGCGCTCAGCGGAACGCCAGAGGACGTCATCGTCAAGGTAAGGGGTCCGGCGCCCTCAGAGATACACCAGAGGACGTTGTGGTCCAGGTAATGAATTCGTCATCCTATTGTAGTTTCCAGTGAAACGTTGCAAAGCCCAACTCCCCGGAGCGTGCTAACAAACCCAACGGTCACCGTGATGGTTATGTCTTTCGGACACTATAGCTGTTTGTCCATTCGTATGACGTTTGTAACGGTAACGAAAACGGTAGCAGTGACGGCAAGGGTGACGTGTTGCAGTTGATCCGTGTGGTGGCCAACATGGTCATCAACCAGGAGGTGGGCTCCGAGGTGTCCTCGTCCCCGGCCTGTCTCAAGGTGCTGCTCGGTGTGCTGAGAACCCACAGGTCAGTCGGTGGGGCGTACTGCGAACCCACGGGTCAGTCGGCAGGGCTGGGCTGAGGGATATGGCAGTGTGGTTCTCTCTCCAAAGCATACTAGAAAATAAGCATCGGGTGTGATGAATGTATGCGGCATATGGAGTTGTCAGCGGATAACGCATAAGCTGAATCTGGTTTTATCCATAGAGATGTGAGAGGTTACTTATGGCAAGCAAGACCTTGGAGACTGTTGCTTAATAAATACTCCATTTTCCCCTCCCGGGCAGCTTCCATAGCATAACTCGATTATACCACAGCTGACCTTAGGCTCACCGTACAACTGACCCGGTCCGTCCCTATATTTTACCCAGCCTGGCCTCACAGCTAATCCCGTACTGTTCCACTCTGTTTCAGTGTGGAGGAGCATGAGGAGCTCGTGCTGTCCTCTCTGTCTATGCTCAACAACCTTACCTTCTATGCCAGCGAGGAGAGCGTCGTTTTCGAACGTCAGGCGGAGGTAACGCATTGTAAGTATGCCCGATAAAAACGCACTTTCTTGATTGTGTGTACTCAGGACAAAACACTTTCCTTTTAGCATTGGCAGCCCATTGTAAAAAGTAGTATGCGTCATGTAATGACGAAACGAACGACCTATTGCTATTCCCCACTGTTACTGGACTCATAAATTATAGATCGGATACGTGCACAACAAACTGGCGACCACACACAATCCCGATAACAGCCTTTCCACTGCCAATGCGCTTCGAACATTGTATTTCCCAAAACGCGTGTCTTGTAAGGAGTCAGAGCGGCCGGCTGGCCTCAGTCGATAGCTCAGTATTCGCTGACCGCCGCCACGTCTGCCCGGGAACGGCATCCGTGCAAACTTGATCAGGTACTATCGGAAATCAATGACCGGCGCAGTGGGGACGCATAAACAGCTCATCCACTGACCGGCCAGTGCTGACGCAGGGACGGATGGATCAGATTGAACTCATAATGTAGCGCTGTGTCATATGGGCAGACATATCCAGTACCATAGGATTACGAGGACCATGGGACTCGAAATGGTGATTGATCCAGCAGACCAGCAGTCGGTAACAGAGCTGTTCCGTTATGCTTCCCATGAGATTAACTACTGATGAGTGAGCACTAGCCCTCCTGTGTTGTGATGGTTTTCTAACGACACTTCACGTTTGTGTTCGGCAGGTTTGTGCTCGATGCTCCGGAAGGAACACACCGAATGTCAGATCGAGGTTCTGCGGGTGTTCGGCAACCTGACCCGGTGGCCGGCCGTCCGCGAGGCACTCGCTGACCGAGAAGGTACGAGTCTGCGGGTCTCCGGGGAACACACGCACGGGACTCACGTTGTTAGCTACACAATCAGCATGCATTACACAATACACAGACGTCTGGACGCTACGTCTGGACGCATTGCATGCTTTCATATTTTCGTACAAATGTGGACTCTGTCACCTACCTACATATTTAGTTATGTTCATGCCATACCGTCCTACATATTTAGTTATGTTCATGCCATACCGTAAACATATAGGGCGACATTTTGTGATTTTCAAACTCAACTCAATCACCCTAATAGATTCATGCATGCTGACATTCTGATTTTCGAATACAACGTACAACATGCAGCATACAACATTCATAGCCTCTTTATCAGCAAGTAATCGATTCGTATGCAGTTTCAAACAGCGCCCATTATGTAACCTTGGACATTTTAGTTCCCACTAGCGCCATTTTTGTACGCATTTCGCCGTTAGTCACTGCCATGTGGATGTTCAGCTGTAGTAATTTGGGGGTACGCACCAGAGTATATAGAAAGTATGTATAGCTCCGCACACCCCGCTCGACTGGTGTCTAAGGCCGACACCGGCCGATCGGTGACGCTGTGACCCCAGACGTGTCTGGTGATGCACCAGTGGTGTCGCGGCTGGTGACGCTGCTCGACTCCGATAACCGGGAGCTGGTCTACACCACCGTCGGCGTGCTCATCAACCTGATGACCGACCCCGGCAAGAGGAGCGACTTCAACAGCTTCGGAGGCATCGACAAGTGAGTATAGGAGATGGAGGACGGGCGGGTTTTTACTTTATCGCGATGAGCTCGTTCTTTTCGAGGTCTGCGAATATGATAAAATTGAACAATGAATCCTGACTTTTGGACTCATTTGCAGCCTATCTGAAACCACAGACTTCTCTGTGCTTGAGCTAATTAATTTCAGTTTACATCTAAAATTCGTGTTCAGGAAGCAACGAACATTGGTCGATAGTGAAGGCCGTGTTTTAGTTTATTTATTTATATTTCAATCCATTATTCTGATTGACTTTATCTATAAGTCATCCTTACTTCCGCTTTAGGTGCACTATCATACCTCAACAACGTTGCAAAATAAAGCGCAGTAAAGACCATAATATAACCGAGGCGTTCGTCGTGGTTTGGTGTGCTTCCAATTCACCACTTATTCATTCAGTATAATTTGTTTCCGGGTTCATAATATCACTCAGCGTTCAGGCATTTCTCCACAACCAATCAAAATCTCGGCAACTCGATTCGTATTTACAAATATGAGATGACTCTGGACACGCATTTTAGCCGCTTTTTGCTCTTTCCCGGATAATAAGGAAAGCAGAAATGAACGCCCGTCGTACACACCATTTCACGTTAGAATGTTAGATGTTGAATGATCACAGAGTACCACCCAGCCCGTCCCCATACCGCTCCCCTGACCTCACTCCGTCCGCCCTCCGGCAGGCTCATCTTGGTGCTGGAGGACTTTGGCTACAGCGACTGGCAGCTGGCGGCGCTGGTCTGCAAGGTACTCTGGAACCTGGCCGCCGACACGGACGACGCCGGCCAAGTGTTCTCCGACCAGCAGGCCGACCAGCTCGCCGTCGTACTCGACGAGTATCTCGGTATGTGAGGGAGGCACGGCGGTGTGTCGGTTTTATATAAGGGAGGCTGGTGTATTGGTTGGATGGATCTTGTACCTGTCGCATATTTGATTTCCTCGGCTCGTTCGAAAGACACGCACGGCTTTATGTGTGACTCAACAGTTTCAAACTGTAGTTGACCCACATTTGACCCGCATCTGACTTGTGCTTACCCGCTTTCCTTACCTTATCCCCCGCAGGCGATGAAGTACTGTTCACAGAGTCGGGTCTGACGGCTCTTTTCCCCCGCAGACGACGAGGTGCTGTTCCCGGAGTCGGGCCTGACGGCTCCTGACCCACCCCTTTCCCCCGCAGACGACGAGGTGCTGTTCCCGGAGTCGGGTCTGACGGCCGAGGAGCAGCAAATCGCCGCCATGTTGCGCCCCCTCTGGGAGGAGTTTGCTGACGTGGCCGCCAGTCTGCTGGAGAAGCTGGATGACTCGCTGGAGTCTGTCGCCTCGGCCGCCGCTGCCACCGTGCCCTCGGAGAGCTCCAAGACTGCCTAAACAGAGCCAGAGGGCGCTACCTGCGTCCGAGCGGTGTGCTCATTGAGAGGTTCAGAGGGGTACGGACGGCTGTGTGCTGTGTGTGCCGGAAGGTTGTGATGTGGTGTGCTTGGGAGAATGCTGAGGGGAACGCTGCCAGGGATTTGTTGCCCCTGTGAGTGCGCAATCTGCATTGAATGGTCTGAGTGTAGACCGGCATTTGGCTGGTGGGTGTGGTTGGGTTGGAGGTCTGGTGGTAGGGCAGATTTCTGCCCGGCTCTCAGTCATATCATGGGTGATATTACGATGGCTCGATTTCGTTACAGGCTGGTGTCAGGGTGGACATCAGCCATGTATCATACTCTGTATATAATTATCTGTCCGGTGTCTATCCCGAGATCTGCTGATGCCGGTCTCATTATAACTATCCCGGATCATCTCAGAGCCCCGTTGGGTTGCTACTGTCGTATCTCAGTAAGATCAGAGGGAATACCGTAGCCATGTCACTCGTCGGGCTGCCGGGATACACTGTGACCAGAGGACGGCGCAAGTCGGGATTTCGAGGGACGGGGTGCCAGGGGATCGGACCTCTGTAGCAATTACATGACGTGGAAAGTCCGAGTGAACGGCTAAGCTGGCTAAAACTGGCTAAATATGTGACCCCAGAGGGTTCCGAGGACTGCTACGGTGGTGCAGAGGCCTCCCGGCGAGTTGTGACTGTGATGTTTGTTTTGTTGGTTCTAATGAGACCATTTCAGGACCGCGGGATAGAAGAAATTAAGGCGTGGCATTGGTCTTGGCGGCCATCACGGCTGAGACCGTCGCGCGGGACAGGCTACCCAGCGGTCTCCCCAACATACGTGCGCCTGCTCCTGAGGAGCCAATCGCGTATGACGACCGTCCAGCCCGGAACAAGGGTTTACGGTGCTGAGGACGAGCATTTGTGTATGTCACGTATGATGACGACCGTCCAGCCCGGAGCATTTGTGCGCCCTGACGATTAATAAGAGGGGTCAGAGGAGACACTGTGATTGAGAGACGTGGGCTGATAGTCGCTGCCGGAGCTGGCAGCGGATGCGCCATCTGGTGGTGATACAGAGGACGTGTGCTTGTGCCGGTCTTCAACAGATGACGGTGTGGTGACAGCCGGCTAACAGATTCAGGCTGAACAATGAATATCATACCAGTGTACTTCTTAGCACTAACCAATTAGGTACTGAAAATCGTACGTAGAAGCTGGGGATGGCAGGCTGACTGATGGTAGCACCCAATCAATACTCTGCCTGGCTGTTCGTCTACCGTCATAATGTGAGGTTTGTGACTTCTATGCCTGAGACAATAATTATGTGCAATATCTGTCAACACTATCCGTCGGATCTCGTTTGTGCCAGGAGTGTTGGTCGGCACTTGAATGAGTGAAACTGATTGTGATGGACACAATAATACCGCCTTGTAGCAAATTTTGCGTCAGTGTTTGGTTCGTTTCGGTTTTCCTGCTCGTTTTTCCGTATGGTGTAATTCGGTGTTTGTGTAGCGCGAATACACCTCCCAAAAGTGGCAGACAATGGTTAATCAAGCGTTTATTTCCTTCCACAAGCGAAATATTAACAACAGCCAACATACATAAAAGATGGTGAAAGTTCAAAAATAAAAATAACTACCCACATGACATTTGAGGAGAGTTGTTGAACAGGACGGCAGGAAGTCGATAGAACAACACTCCTCGAGGGGACAAAGGAACCAAAAACTTGGGAAACAATCTAACAGCGGATCCTGGCTCGAATTTGGAACTCTGCAGGTGGAGTCGGGCGGACCCCCGGAGACCCCTCGGTGGCCGGAGGAGCCATCAGCCCCCTGGCCTTCCGGAGGGGTCCCGGAAGATCCGCGCAGCCTGGCCAGCAGACTGATAGGTTACTGTGAACGCTCGGGTCAACTGAAGTTACATGTATGGGTGGAAAGGGAGGCCTTGTTACGGTGGAAGGAAATATATACTGTTCTTTCTGACCCATACGTCAGTAGCCTTGAGACAGTAAGGCCCCGAGTCCAGGCTGTAAGGCATGTCTCGCGTGCCGCCGCAGCGCTCGTTCTTCTATGTACAGGCCTGTAACACTCGCCCTCGGAGGCGGCACGCGCAGGAAATAAATACAACATCTCAAATCATCATGATCCCTACGGGTAAAACGCAATCGAGTCAAGCGACAGCCGACTAGCAGGTTCAGTATATATCACGCACGCGCGCGCTCCCCGCTGCCGTGTCGGCGGCAGCGGCGGCGGCGACGGGCGGCAGGACGGCGGCGGCGGCGGGCGATCCCACTACCGGGACGCCGCCGCCCCCACCGGCCCGACTACGGGTTAATGGAGACGGGTTAGTCAATCGGTGGCTGGCGCGGCTCTGCCCGCCGTCTGGCGAGCCGCTGCGCTCCACTCTCGCTCACTCGTCGTCCGCTCGGCGCTCGGCGCGCCACTCTTCTCCCTCCCTCTCGCGCGCGCTCTCGGACTCTCTCCTGTCGACCGGCCGGCGCGCTCGGCCGGGACGTGACACGCTGTCTGTGCTCCGTGTGTCTGTCTGTGTCAGTGGGGTGTGTGCTGTGACTAGTGTGTGCCGTGTGCAGCGGTGGGCGGCGCGGGCAGGGCCGGGTGGCCCGCCACAGCACGCCCGCTCACCGTGTCTCTCGTGTCACGTCCTAGCACCCATGTATAAAATTCATGATATTGCACGCCTAACCACTCACTCCGCGCACCACTTACTCGCGCAAATGTCTACCAACACAAAATAGAGAAAGATAGAAGTGTCACACTTTCCGAGCCTCCATCAGCGCTCGGCCCGGCTCGGCACACCTCAGCCCCCACGCGCCCGTCGGCGCAACTTCAGCTTCTGGCCGCGCCCGCCAGGTGTCAGCAGCTCACATTAGCCGCTGCTTGGCGCACTCGGGGCAAAGGATATCCGAGCCGTCGGTGATGAAGCCCTTTCCGACCAGCGAATTGCTGCAGCTGGCGCAGATGAAGCAGTCGTTGTGCCAGTGCCGGTCCTCGAACGAGATGAACCGGGTGCCACCGATGCCTGCCGGACGGACATACAGACAGGGCGCGATCAGACCTACGGCGAAGAGCGGCAGATAGTAGGGAGCAGCACCGAGCTGAGATCATAGCAGCCATCAGTGAATATCGACAAAAAACCATGAGTGTACGAGTATACCTCCATATACGGAGCTGCACGACCAAACCGATATAACAACCAATAAAATTTGAATAGTTGGAACGTCTCGCAAATGTCATGGGATACTTGCATATTATCTACGGCATGCTGATTTCACCGAATCTTAGGAAAATCCTAAAACGTCTAACCACTCCCATCCCTCCCCTATAAAGGCCCCCGGGGGCGTTACGGACCGGTGATGGGCTTGGAGCAGGCGGTGCACCGCTTGGCAAACAGCTCGCCGAAGCAGTCGGCGCAGTAGGGCTTCTCGTCACGACTGGTGAACCGCTGGCCGGCCAGGCTGGTGTTGCAGTTGGTGCAGGTGAAACACTCGCGGTGCCACGGCTGCTGCTTGTAGGTCACGCCGCCAGTGGTGATGATCTGCGGGGGGAGAGGGGTGGAGTCAGACGTGGGGCAGACGTGGGGCAGACGTCAGGACCGGTGTGTGACTGGAAGAGTGTGGCTGCGTATAATCCAGCCTCAACAGGGAGGGGCATTAGAAGTGATACGATCAGTCATGGTGCATCGACGATTGCTAGCTCATTCATAAGTAGCTCGTAAGTACACATCAAATACGCTTAGTCCTCAATACATCTGCTATGATTTATGAAAGTGTACCGATTATTAATGCCTATGCAAACATGATGCAACCGTTCCGCATGATAAGACGCGTCTAGACATCGGCCAGCGATTAACTATCATTGAAGGCAAAGGGAGGGGGGGGGGGGGGCGAACACGGCACCGGCATGCATCCTCAGACTTCGCACGGTATACATCTTTGGACATTGGTATTCTACTGGACGAATGGGTCTGTTTTTTAGAGCAGTGCCCGCTCCTAGTCGCCGTGCATCAAAACAGACCAGCACACCGCGTGGGCTGAGGTCTCCGATAGGATCAGCCGCGCGCCGGGCGCTTAGTGGGGACATCATACCGTCACACACGGCACTGGGGACCTCTGATCAAAACAGGGGACACGCGGAGCACCGGCTCAGGCCGGGACGATTAATGCACTATGCATACTGCATCTGGTCTGAAGGCCGATCAGATGACCAGAGCCAGCGTAAAAACATCGTACTAGAGCTCGCCGAAAACAGCACGGCGCGCTTATAGCCGCACTGGTACAGCACCTGGTCACCTGCAATCTGCATGTATAGTCGACTACAGAATGATGTTCCACTCCTCAGAAGCGCTAAGTTGAAGAATCAGTTGACCGGAGCGCTAAGTTGAGCCGTTTATCACGCAATTAAGCGTGTCGATTGTGAGCATTGGGACAAAGCTATAATATGTGAACTCAGCCCGTGTGATGCGGCACAGCCTACCACTCCAGGCAATTAATTACCTGTGAAAAGTGGAACACCATTCTGTAGTCGACTATACATATTTCAAAAACATCTCTGGTTTGATACCTTTCGCCTACCCTTCCCTTTCTCATCTAAACCCGTTACACGTACTGACACCTAGCTGAGAAGTCCGAGGACTCTCACTCTCGCGTCTCGACTGACCTTGTCGCACTTGATGCACCGGGTGGCGAACTTCTCCTCATAGCAGCCCGTGCAGTAGATCTCCTGCTCGCGAGGGATGAACGACTTGGTGCCAATCGGCGTCTGGCACACGCAGCACGCGAAACACTTCTCGTGCCACTGGCGCGTCTTGTACTCCATCTTCTTCGTGCCTAAGGACACAAGGAGCGCAGTGGTGAGACACCGGTGCGACACCGGTAGGGGAAAAGGGATGTGGCGAAGGGCAGAGATAGCAGGGAAGCAGCAGTGAATCAGTGTAGTCTGACTTCCTCCGACCCGGGCTGAATTAGTCGGCAAGTCCGGCATTCGTAATGTAAAATCTGAGGGCCTGGGCATGCAGCAGCTGTCGTTATTAGCAGCTCATCAGTTGATACAACGACGATACTCATCCCTCTATCATTTCCAGCATTCAAGATACGACAACTAAAGCTTCCGGACCAATATTACCCCGAACTTTCTTCATGTTGCCTCGCTGAAAAGTGTTAGTACTAGGAATACCACCCGGCACCCATTCTGCGAACACTCCATAAACGGTAACCAAAGAAGCGCTATCGTCTCCTTCTCCACTTCCACAGTCAACCAGTAGGCACTAAATCATAGCTAGTCAAAACAAAGCGGCCACTATCACCACGTTTAGCTCATCGATGATGACATGATCTTTACGACGATCGACGTGGCGGACGTCGGACCACCGGCGACGACGGCGCTGCTCGGTAAACAACGAGCGAAAACATGCAACTGCGGTGACATCCGCCGTCCTTGCATCTCCTATCTCGCCTCTCCCCGCCGCGCCGCGCGGCTTCGCCGTGGGTCCGGCTCAGCTCAGACCGCCGGGCTGAGCTGAGCTGAGGTGAGCTGAGCTGAGGTGAGCTGAGCTGAGCTGAGCTAGCTGAGCTCGCTGACGGACGTCTGACGCCAGTCAGCGGCCACCTGCTGCCGCCTCAGTAAACAGACCGGGTCCGGACTGCCGAGAGATGGCGTCACCCACGAGCAACTCCCGGGCGCGGCATCACGAGCGCAGACGACAACACGGATCCTCAGATGGGTGGACGATGGTTTCATCTGGTGGTAAACAATAGACCGCACAGCTTCAATGGCCGAGCAGGAGCCACCAGCTGGCCACCTGGGAGAGGCGCGGTTTACACCATGTCACCTTGGATACGTCTGCGACCACAATGACGTCACTCATAGCTAATGACGTCACCAGCTGTCGGCACATCTTTCACCGTCGGTGGCGGCCTCTGAGACGGGGGCTGGCCGAGGGCCTGCTCACGGGCGGAGCTGCCGTGCCGGGAGGGTGGAGCGGCCGGTCGGCGTTGACACGCCGTTTAGCAGACGCGCCTCCCTAGCGGCGCAAGGCGCGCCCGGGATCTCAGCCGACTCAGAAGCCACCCACGCTGGCTCGGAGTCGCCTCTGAGCTGCTCGCTCAGCTGTGAAGCTGCAGCAGCTGCTGAGCCCGCTGAACTACCGCCCACAACAGCACCCTCGGACAATAGACATGCAGTCAGCCGCAGTGTGGTAAAACAGCTGACGAGGCGCACAGCCACCCTACCTGACCTCGGCACTACCGGGGGCGGCTCACAGCAGCCCACAGCCCCGTCACTGGAGGGGGAGCTCAGGCAAGCCACCTCGAGGCCGCTCTGTGGCCATGCTAGCCGTGACGCTGCTAAAAACGGTATTACGCTCGCCGCTGCGCACTAGGACGGTCGATCGGCTCCGAGGGATTTCTCATCGGCAAAAGATAGCCGGAATTGTATGTAAAATAGCCGCGGCATGTCCGCTGGTATCCGTCGGGACAATCAGACCCGGCTTCAGTCGCCTTTCCGGGCCAGCGGACGGCGAGGTGGGTTGATTTCATCTTGCTCAAGCCAGACTGTCTAAAGTAATCGCTTGGCACAAGTGCGCAAATCGCAGAAGTGCCTAGCATATTCATCATTCTTTATTCAGCTTACATCTTGTAGAATACGCACAGTCCAAGCTCTTCTAAAAAATCCACCGATAACATCAATAAGCTTTAACGGATGGTGAGCAGCATATCGCGTTTCAAGCCTCCTAAGCGAGAGGCATCACCGGCCGGAGGAATTAAAAAGTCGGCCAGCGAGAAAAATCCCACTAATGCTCACTATACTATTACCACCTCGGAAGCATGTTTAAGAATCGTGATAACCTTCAGCCTGCATTTCAGCCGCTTCGCTGGCCACTTGCGAAATGCTGTCGAAATATTGCCGTCACTTAGCTGGTCAGTGGTCAGCAGTAGAGACAGATGATAGGCGACTTCAGTAGGAGCCGTTCCAGGAGCGACCCAGTGCAGTAGAGTGAAGGTCTGCCATAGCTTAATGAAAATTACGCAACACTGAGAGGACTTCCGTCCTCCACTGTCTGCAGCTCCGTCACATTCAGGAAACTCCTTGAAGTGCAGTGGAGCACGAACGATTCGGAGGGCGCGCTTACACATGCTCATTTGGAATGAAAACATCAACTAGCTGCACTTGACCTTGTAGTTGTATCAGGCTGCAAAATACAGGCTTCGTGGACCCAGAATACAATGCAACTAAAAGGGAACAACAATGCGAGCAAGCGTTCAAAGAGCAAAGGAAGTTGAGCCTTGGCGACTACATGAGAGGCGGTCTAGGCGCCACCTCACCTCGTCGCTATGAGGGCTGCAGCAGCCCCTCCTCAAAACCACAGCCCTGAGAGCTGCTAGAGACTAAGGGCGAGATAGACACTATTACTACTCTTGAGAACTGCACCTCGCTCCTCCTTTACTTTCAGAACTGTAGATTGTCCTGAGACAACTACAACCCCTCATAATAAACTATACACCAAAATAAACTAACTACAACCCCTCTTAGAGCTGCATCTCGCAACTCCTAAGTCCTGCGCCTCACCCCTTCTGACAGCTGTATCTCACCCCTCCTAAGAGCTGTAGCTTGCCCCTCCTGAGAGCTGCATCTCGCCCCTCCTGCTGCGTCTCGCTCCTCCTGAGAGCTGCAGCAGCCCGGGAGGCGCGGAGGGCGGGCGGACTGGGACGCTGCGGCCGGCCGTGACATCATGGTGTGAGCTCACGACTGGAGAATGTGACTGGCCCGGGCCAGCGGGGACGGTGGCGGACCCGAAACTGGAGGCGGGCGCCGGCGCCGACACCCCCGGCACACCGCAGACGGCCGCGACAGGCCCCCAGCGGGCAGTGACACACCTTCTGAAGGCCGGCCACTGGACGGCACTGGTCTGATGTAACCAGATACAGTGGCAGGGGGCTGACACTGCTTCAGCTCCGAAATCGCTGGGGCTCTGTGAGGCAGTTACAATCTTCCTCGTCCCTCACACTTATAGTTGCTGGGCTCCTCGGTGTGGCACAGATTAGGTGACAGCAGTGGCAGCGGGACTCCGTGAACCGTCGTCCGTTCTGACGCTCCTGACTCTGCCCCCCGTGCAGCGACCCGTGACTCAAACACAAATAAACACCGCAGGATGATAGGCCAGAAGCGGAACGGCTCACCGGGTTATGTCACCCGGTCTGCTGGAAGGGACGCCGTGGCCCTTTTAATGCGAGTTATATGACCCCGAGTAGCTAGAATTGCGACCATGAGGGCACAACACTGAGCTCGTGTCTTGCAAAATGCAGTAGCATCGATTAACCCAAGGCCCTAAAATATATCAACCTGTTAACCAATCACTGTTGCAAAATCTATATCAGCGCACAATGTTCAACACGCGCATTAACACTATCGCATCTATCGCTTGTGAAAACAGTCGACGGAGCCCCTCTCGACGCAGATGCCCCCTCCCCCTAGCTATCACGCTCGCTCACTGAGTGAAATGCGCAGTTGGTCGTCCGGCCACCCTTCCCGTCCCCAGAAACGGACTGAACCCTCCACCATCCCCAAAACGGACACACACCTCAGACCTCACTCCCCCAGATATCAGCGCACCTTCCTTCCGCCCCTAAACATGGACAATTTCCCTCCCCCAAAACAGACACGCCCTCCCTCCCTCCCTCCCTCCGTAGAAACGGTGGCAGGTGCAAAACCAGGGACCTCAGAACTGCCAGGTGCCAGCATCATAACGCGAGTCCCACGCCGAGTAAGAACATCTTCCGTAACTCCCGGTGCTCACTCGCTTTACTCGATACTAATCACGTTCGAATCGGTACCATGCAGAATGCAGATACGCTAATTCCGTGCACCGGTTCTGTGTACCGGGTGTCACACCTGTTAAACTGGGCCAGGTCGATACGGCCCGGCGATTGCAGACCGTCGACGCCCCCCGGTGACGTGGTCAGTCGATATCACCTTCCCGGAGCAGACCGGGCGACCACAGCCGTCGCGTCGGCGGCAGGGGTCAGAGCAGAGGTCACCTCTCAGAGGTCAAAGCAGAGGTCAGCGCACAGGTCACCGCAGAAGCCAGAGTAGAAGTCATCTCCCTCAGCGGTCAGCGCAGTGCTTAGAGCAGGGGTGACCTCTCTCAGAGGTCTGAGCAGACATCAGAGAGGAGGTCAGTGCGGATGTCGCGGATGGAGAGTGGGAACACGGCTGGGTCTGCGTTCAGCTCTATCTCGCTCCCCTGGACCGACACCTGAGCCTGGGGTGCAGCGCGGTGTGGGCCGACCCCCGGTCCCCGGCCGTGTTCAGCGTTTGTTACAGGGGACTGAGTCACCGTGCAGGGGCGGCAGAGAGCCGATGGAGAGGGCGGGGCGGGCGGCGGTCACCTCAGCTCCGCCCCTGCCCCCGCCGCGGCGGTCCGCCCGCCCCGCCCTCAGTGTGCCGCACCGCACCTGTGAGAGATCTGACTCAGCCGGGATCAGAACGCCCTCATAGTATTCCAGCACCGTTAGCATGACGTCACACCGGGGACAAATCAGCCGCTGCAGCGGGGACCTTGTTATGCAGCCGCCCGGAGTCGGCACCTGTGGCCCAGTCATGTCCCTGAGAGCGGGAACTGACGGGCCGCGGCACAGGCCGAACAGGTGGCAGTTGCGCCACGGCGCCGCGCCGCTCTCGTCTCTGCCGCGCCGGCGGCGACACTCCGACACGGGCGTCGTTTGTCGCCGCGCTCCGGGAGAGTGGCGCACTGCGGCAAATATGGAGCGCGCGCGCGCTGCGAACGCCGCCTATTTCAGAGCGGCATCTCCCGGAATGGATGGACAGGGAC